CCACCACCACCACCACCACCACCACCACCACCACCACCACCACCCCCACCACCACCACCACCACCACCACCACCTCCACCACCACCACCACCACCACCACCACCACCACCACCACCACCACCACCACCACCACCACCACCACCACCACCACCACCACCACCAGCGCGACCCCCTCAGGCCCGACCATTTTATTTCGGCGTCGCACGGCCCACCATCCCGCCCCCACGATCGTTCTCCCCTCCCCGCCCGCCCAATGCACCCCGCCCCTCCTCCGCCTCGACCATTTTATTTCTGCGTCGCACCGCCCCCGCCGTGCCGCCCCCCCGAGACTTCTCCGATTTCGTCCCCTCTCTCCCCCCCTTTCCTCCTCCTCCTTCTCCTCTTCTTCTTCCTCCTCTTCCTCCTCCTACTCCTCCTCTTCCTCCTCCTCCTTACCCCTCCGTTTTGTGCAAGAGCCATGGCACGCGTGCCACTTGTTCAAATACAATGTTTCTCCTGAGGCTCGCATTTGTTTTTTTTAAATGAAAAATGACACGTCGTCAAACTGTGCCCCTGGCCCCTGGTTTACAACAACAACGGCTCCTGCCTGCTACTTCCTCACAATCTATTCCCAAATCGCGTTCTCGCGCAGGACTTCCTCACAACATATACAGGAATCGCGCTCTCGCGGGGGACTTCCTAATTTAATCAAACCGCGCCCTCGACACTTAGGAATGACGCTCTCGCTGTGGATTGATTCCCTCGCGATTGATTTGGGAATCGCGCTATCGATCGAACCTTCCTCGCAATTCATGCAGGACGCGCGCTTCAGCAACCCGCTTGCCCCTTGTCCCTTCCTTCCATCCGTCCTTTCTTCCCCTGCCTTAAGGGCTGCACGAAATACACGATGCAGGTAAGAAATATATACCGCGAATGGAGGTACGATCGAAGACGAATAGGGCGGGTATCTAGGGTTTGGGATATACGTGTTGAGTGACCCGCGAGCAGGTAAAAAACGGACAGTCTTAACACTCATATCATTATTGTTATTGTGGTTGTTGAACTTCAAGTGCGGAGAAAGTGGTAGTGTTGGACACCCAACAAGCTTTCTGGCGCTCTTGCATCGGCGCCGGCTGCATTTCCTTTGAGAATTCGGCTCGCGTCCAAGCGCTTCGGGGTTCCACCCGCACCGGCCCCCAGCAACCACAACGCCCTGGCCCGACACCTCTCCCCTTCCCACTCAGCACCCGGGCTCTTGCTCCCCCCCAAACGCCGCCTTCCCAACAAGACCGGCGCTCCCGTTCGATACGCCCCTGCTCTTTACTCAGGACCGGCGCTCCCGCCTCGGCGCCGCAACCAGACCCCCCAGAGAAACAACGACACTCCCGCTCGATACTCTCTTCATTTGCACTCAGGACTGGCGCTGTTGCTCGCCGCCAATCACCTCCATTCAAACCAGCTCCCGCTCGATACCTCCTTGCTCTTTGCGTAGGACCGGCGCAATTCTGCTCGCCGCCGAAAGCCAGCCCTCCAACAACACCAGCGGTCCCGCTCGATACTTCCTTGATTTCTATCAGGACGGGCACTTCCACTTCGGCGCCGCAGACGGCCCACCCGTACGATAACGACGCTCCCGCTCGATATTTCCTTTGTTTTTACCTGATGACTGGTGCTTTTGCTTGCCGCCGAGAACGAGCATTCCATTCAAACTAGGGTTCCTGCTTGATATTTCTTTGACTCTCATTCAGGACCGGCGCCATTTTGCTCGCTGCCGAATGCCAGCCCTTCAACAAAACCAGCGCTCGCGCTCGATACTTCCTTGTTTCTTTCCCAGAAATGGTGTTCGCGCCTTGGCGCTGCAAACCAGCCACCCTATCAAACAACGCTCCCGCCCGATATTTCTTTGCTTTTGAATTGCTGGGTAGTGCGGCCATCGTCTCGGCATCGCTTCTAGAGGGCTTCGGGCGGCCTCCAGACGGTTCAAAAAACAAGCGACGGCGCCGCCAGCGTCTCGAGGAGGCGCCCATAAAATCCCAAGAGCGCCCGAATTGGCCTCTGGACTGCGCATCCTCTCTGCAGGGCATCGGGCGGCTCCAGGAGGGTTCCGAAAATGCCCAGCTCCAAGCGCCACAAGCGAACCGAGGAGGCACCTGTAAACTACCAAGAGCGCCAGAAGAGCCCGCTGGACGGCCCAAGAGAGCCCCATCACGGCCCAAGAAGGCACCCCCTCGAGACATGAACACATCACGACGGAAGGCTCTGAAAAACATACTTTTCGAACTCCGGGGGCCCTCACAGGGCCTCGGAGCCGTGAGCAAACCGCTCAGGATGAAAAACCGGTCCTGGGGAATAGCTCGAATCCTCTGGGGGTCGAGGTCATGAACCAATCATGAGGTCGGGGGTCTGGGCATCGGGGAGCGGAGCGCCCCGAAACGTGATGCTCGTGCCGCCCGATGGGCGACGAAAGCGGGCCCCGCTGCTCCTCCGCGCGCCCAGATCCATGCGCCTGCGCTGCCCGGGAAAGACGCCGCTCACAGCGCTGGGCAAGCCACCTCGCCTGCCACCCACGGAGGGGCAACGACAAGGGGTGCCTTGCTCAGCGGGGGGGGGAAACACCGACCTGGAATGGGCTGTGTGTCGCCGACGGATCGGCGATAGAAGCCCCCGATGGCGAACCCGCAGGTTCCTGGGCGGGGTGGGCTATCATGCCCCCATCGGCGATCCATCCCCCCCTGAGCCAACTTGGCCGCTGACCCGGTCCCCCCCCCCGAGGCTTAGCGGCGAGCCCGGGGGGGAGTGAGAGAAGGGGCGGGCCTTCTTGGAAGGCTCGGCAGCCCCCCGGCCTCCTGACCAGTTTCCTAAACAAAAACGCCCTCCCCGAAGACGTCGCGAACACCTCTCGGAGAAGGCGCGCGAGGGCCTCTGCGCAGCCCCGCCGCCTCCCGAGAGGGCCTCCTCCTCCTCGCTCCCTCGCTCGGCTACACGCAAGAGTGACCCTGGGTAAGAGTGACCTTTGGTGCGCGGCGTTGGGGGGGCCACGCGGGGACCAAGCCTGGGCGCGCAAGCCGCTGCTCCTGCTTCGTTTCCAACCATCTGAGGACCCATCAGTGCCCGCACCAAAGGTCACTCCGGCGAAAGGTCACTCTTACGTCTAGCCGCCTCGCTCGCCGCCGCGAGGCGCCCGGCCTGGGCAGCACCCGCCCGCACTCGCCGCAGGCCACCGTGCCGCCCCTGCCGCTGCCGGAGGCGCCGGCCGCGGCCCCGGCGCCGCGCTCGGCCGCGCTCGGCCGGCCGCGCCCCATGTGGGCGGAAGCGCGGCGGCGCCCCGCGGGGCCGGCCCGCCGCGGCCTCTCCGAGCCCAGGCGCAGTGCTGCGCGGCTGGAGCAGGTGCACCACCAGCCCCTCCCTCGCCCCCTCTCTCTCCCACGGCAGGGGCGAGGAAGAGGAGGGAAGAGGAGGGAGGAGGAATGGGGGTGGATTTGGTGTGTATATATATATATATGGATTTGGTGTGTGTGTGTATATATATATATATATATATATATATATATGTTCTTGGCGCCCGCAAGTGCGGCCGGGCCCGGGACAGGAGGACATCCTGCAGGGACACGGGATCCTCCGCCGGCCAAGCGGAGGAGCATTCGAGAGCACCCTCCCAAAAGGATGCGCAGGAGCGTCCAACGAGCAGGAAGATTCTTCCAGGGTTCCTCCCCGAGCCGACCTCGACCTCCTGCCGCGGTCCGATTGTCTGTCCTCGGGTCTCCGTGGAGATGACCTTTGCAGCCCTGGCGTTTGCTCTCGATTTCGGCTGCGAGGGCCCGTTATCCGCCGACTACACATGGCTTCCGGTCTCGAGTTTCGGGCTGCCTGACGACAAGTCGTGAAGATAGTGACGACCCGTGCCCATCAGGGCACGGAGTGCACGCCGTAGCCTCAGCAAAGACGGTGCGCCTTTGAGCAACATGCCAGCTGACGGCCCGTTAGGCAGAATCGTGGAACACGAGCTTGGGCTGGAAACGGGAGTGGGAAAATGAACCGGAATCTGAGAGATGGACAGGGGTGCTGGAGTAGGAGCCAGGGAAGGAGGAGGAATGGACAATCCCCGAACGTGGCCAGAAAGAACACACGTGCGCGCGAGAGAGAGAGAGAGACGGGAAGAGAAAGAGGTCTATATATACATATGTCTATATTTCAGTGTATGTATGTATATATATATATATAACTATAAACATATATCTATACGCATCTCGATCTGATTATATCTATGCATATATCTATAGGGAGAGAGAGAGAGAGAGAGGAGAGGAGAGGAGAGAGAGAGAGAGAGAGAGAAAAAAAAAAAGGGAGAGAGATGAATGGACGGCGAGAGAGAGAGAGAGAGAGAGGAGGGAGAGAGAGAGAGGGATCATCCGTAAGACAACAATAATATATAAATATATATATATATAGAGAGAGAGAGAGAGAGAGAGAGAGAGAGACAGGCAGATAGAGAAGACGTGGGCTTGCGCGCGCCTCGATCGCCGCCGACCCACGGCTGGAAGACGACCCCAGCCGCAGGCCGGTCCCGTACGGCCACGCCGATGAGCACGCAGACGTGGTGCAGGTTGCCCCGGACAAACTGGAATGATAACGAGGGTGATGCTGCTGACGAGGATGATGCTGGTGATGATGACGATGATGATGATGATGATGATGATGATGACGATGACGATGACGATGACGATGATGATGATGATGATGATGATGATGATGATGATGATGATGATGATGATGATGATGGCGATGAGGATGATGCTGCTAGTGGTTCGACGAGCGCATTCCACTACTCGCAAATTGACTACTCGCAAATGGCCTGGATCCGCCGGGGGGGTCTACGAGAAATTTCATCGAAGCAGACATGTGTTTTTCGGACGCTTGCGAGTAGGCACTTTGCGAGTAGTGGAACTCGCTCGGTGAATGGTGGTGACGATGGGAGCCGGAGGCTCCGATGGCTTCGCCGAATCAAGAAACGAACGAGGGGAGCCACGAAACTAATGGAAAAGCGCCGAGCCTCAGCCGCACGGGGTGCCAACACGCTCACGGGACGCCCGTCCGCGGGTGGCACTTGGATGGATGCGCTTGGCCTCCAGGCTTCTGCAGGCCGCCATGCGGGCACCACCGGATTTCCAGGCTGCCGAGCCTCTGCCGTCAGAGAGCAGCAGAGGGGATGGCCCAGTGGAGGCAGGGCCCCCACCGCGTCAGACAGAACGCGGAACACGCATGGGCTCTGCGTGACCACATGGTGGCCACGGATGAGCTCAAGCGCCCCGTCGGCAACACCAGACTTCGGTCGGGCGTGTCCTCCTACAGCCGGGTTTTGGAAGACAAGTGAAACATAGTCCAAGAATATTCAGAAACAGTCAAAAATGGTCAACACATCGTCCCCTGACTATTTTTTTCCTCCTGCAGAGGGACACGCTCGACTTAACACTAGACACAGGCGGCGCCCAAACTCCAGCAAGGGACGCATCCCCAGAAGAAGACGGGTCGCCCCCAGACCACGCACCCGACGCGGCCTCCCCAGGGGCCCGCGGCCAGCTCTCGCCTGGAAGGAAGGGCACAGCAAAGGGCGGGCCCGCCCCGGAAATGGCGGAGGAGTCCCGAAACGCCGAGATTTGAACCCCAGACCCAGAAACTGGGCGAGGGCTGGCAACTCCGTGGCTGCTAAAACGGTCTTCCCGGAAGAAACAAGCAAATTCCCGGAATAAAACCCAGCGCACCAAGTAGTAAACGGGCTGCTTCTCGGAAGACAAAAAAGAACAACGCGGAGCTCCGTTCTAGCAGCCACGGGTTTGCCAGCCTTCGCCTGGCTTCTGACAGACACTGGTCCCAAGAGACGGCCGGCCGCCATCAACGCCACGGCGATAGCTTCTTCACCGACCGAAGGGGGAAGGGAACCGAGGACGAGGAAGAGGGGGAGTCCCGGCCTCGCGCGCGCGCCACGAGGGCCCCATAAGCGCGAGGGCGCACGGGCTGTGTGTGCTCCAGTCTGGCCAGAGCGGCCTCGGAGCTCGCCGAGGCCGTGCACTTCGTACAGACCCCAGCGGCCCCTCTGCAAGACAGCTGGTGGCGGGCCTGGACCAGCTGCGCAGGGCCAGGCGTCGCAGGAGGCCTCGCGCAGCGCGGGACCTCGGCAGCGGCCTGCTCAGAGCGCGTGCCCGCGGCCGCAGGCATCCGGGCCGAGAGCTGGGCCCCCGCCTTGGCGTCGCTCAGCTCCACCCGGAACACGTCCACAGGCGCGGCTGGGAGCCGGTGGGCCTGCGCCCCGATCCTCGCGAAGAGCTCGGCCCACGCGTGGCCGAACAAATCGGCCCTGGGTGGGAGAGGTAGAACTCCGCGTCCTTGTGCTCATGGTTCACTCACTGCAGCATTTGTTTAATCGTTGCGATCGCAACACAATGAGATCGATCGTTTGAACTCTGCCTGCTGCTAGCTACTCTGGGTGGGAATCGCCACGATCAGCCGGGAGCCGTTGCGTCCACGGAGGTGGCGCGCGCAGAATGGCGGGATGCTCCCGACGAGCTCAGCACACACGGATCACATGTCATCGGGCACGCGATCATCTTCGCTTCAACCGACTCTCGTCGGGCATCGTCTGATTATCTCCGCGCCTCAGCGCTCGTTCCGCTCAGGCTCATGTATCTGATAAATTACAACATGCTGCACATAGCCGTCTATGGTGTGTCCCCACCGGCGCCTTGGCCCATCTGGCACCGACTTCTCAGACAAGACGTGTCCAGGAATCTCTTGAATCTGTTAGCTGGCAGTTGGGCGTCGAAGCCCGTGCTGCCCGAAACACACGAATCGGAAAATAGGTTTCACGGTGGGTGGCCCATGCCAGTTTATCCCCCGCATCCCTGTGGATGGTCTTCCCTGGCCCCCCCCTGGATCCAGTCGATGGAAGAATCAGTGCGGCCTGCCTCGCTCGTCTGGGAGCCACGAAACGGGGATGCCACTGGTGGCGGGCTGCCGTCGACCACGCTGAAGATCTGCCGCCAGAAATCGGCGCGCTGCCTTGTCGATGCAGCCCGGGCGGGACCCCGTTGCTCGACTTCTTTCGCGAGGGCGGCCAGGTCCGTGGCCGCGGGCCCGAGATGGCCCATGTGGCGGGGCGCATGCAGGAAAACCCACCTCGCGGCGCGCCCACCCGTCCCGCGCCTGCCTGGGAAAGTATCGAAACCCGCCCGCATTGGGACACGGTCAGCACTCATCTGCACGCGGGCCCCGCCGCGCTCGCGGAGCTCGGGCAGGGCAGCTTCGCAGTCCGAGCCGTTGCGGACCAGGCGCCCCCCCAGTGGCGCTCCTGCGCTTGCGCGACGCCGGGGACAATGTGCGGTATCATGAGCTTGGCCACCACGAGGTCGAACCTGTCGTAGTCCTGGTCCATGGCGCCAGTGCTGGCCAGGTTCCATCGCGCGGGCTCTGGCTGCGTGGCTCCGGCATGGGCTCGAGCTGGTCGCTGGGCACTCGTAGAGGTTGTGGCGACCAGGGAGAGGCGTGCACTCGGGGCTGGAGGGGTAGCCCGCTGCGTGCCGCCTGGCCGCGTCCCGAGAGACGCCCGCCCAGAGCTCGCGCAGCTGCCCAATCCGCGCGCCCCGCGGGGCCGCCCGCGGCGGAGCGGGGATCCTGCGAGCCGCGCGCGTCCACGCAGACGCCTGCCGCCGAGGCGGAGGCACGTCCAGGTGATGGAACGATAGTTGATGATGGTGACGAGGGTGATGGTGGTGATGGTGATGGTGATGGTGATGATGATGATGATGATGATTCTGATGATTCTGATGATGATGATGATGATGATGATGATGATGATGATGATGATGATGCTGATTCTGATGCTGATGCTGATGCTGATGCTGATGCTGATGCTGATGATGATGCTGATGATGCTGATGATGATGATGATGATGATGATGATGATGATGATGATGGGGATCCACTGGGTCCAAGACGTTAAGGAGATCTGGCTCGAAAGCCGCCCGAACCCGAACGCTTACCTCGGCGCCTCGCCCGCAGCGCCAGGCCGTGCCCACTCGGCACCTGCGAGGACATACCAGGCTCCTCCAGACCGACGCCGCTGCCACGCCAGCGGCGGCCAGTCGCGGCCACGTGACGGAGGCGACGCGCTCGAGCACGGCCGCGGCAAGCTCGTTGCAGGCCCTCGTGATCCTCGGGCCCGCCTGGCGCCGCGACCATGATCGGCGCCGCGCTCGGTGGACCAGTGGGCCCCGAGTCGCATCGGGTGACAGTGAATGCATCGCTACATCCCCGAACATGCCTTGCACAGACTATGCGCGCCAGGGGCGCTCTCGCACCGATAGTTTGCAAACGCGAAGACCCTCGCGGCAGGATGGCGCCACGAGCCGCGCGAGGACTCGCCACTTCCGCCGCCTGCCCGCGAGGCCGCGCGGTTCCACTCCGTTTGCAGGGCGCGCTACCCGCCGCAGAGGTTCCCGAAGAGCGGGCCCCTCGCCAGAGACAGGCTCAGCGCGCAAGTTTTTCGGGATAGGGAAAAGATCTGCGACTCTAAAGGCTCACTGCTGCTGGCATGTGGGTTGCCGTACCAATCGCCGTATGAACCGATGGTCAGTGGGCGACGCTGCCGACGCCTGCCACCGCTCCAGCTCCGCGGTCCGCTTCAGGATGCTCTCGAAGCGCCCGCGGCTGCGAGCGAGGGGGGCGTAAGACGCCGTCGAGGCCGTCCACCGCTGCAGCTCCACAAGCCACTCGTTGATGTAGATGCTCACCTCCGCCTCGACGGCCGCCGCGCCCTCTGCCAGGGCAGTCATCCCCCGTGGGGGCCCTGGGGCGCGCCGGCACGCGCCGTCGCGATCAGCAGCCGCAGGGGCGTCCCAGCACCGTGGCGCGATGCCCTCGGTCTGCGCGTGGAGCCCGGCAGTGGGGGCGAAGGGCTGGGCCTCGCGGAGCATTCGCCGACTCGATCGCCAGGGCCGCGGCCTCAGGCTCGCGCCGCGAGCGGCCGCTCGGCGACGCGCGCCCTCCGCGGTGGTCCCGTGCTGCGCGTGAAGGGCGTCGCCCCCGCGGACGCACTGTGTGCCGCAGCCCCGCGCGAGCAACGGATAGGGGCGGCCGGCGGTGCAAGCACGGCAGCGACGGCAAGCGCGGGCAGGGAGACCTCCAGGTGGCATGCGAGCACTGCCCCCTTGCGGCATGGGCGGGAGCGGGGCCTCGGCTCAACCCAGCCGTGGCCCACGTGCGGCGGCGCGCAGCTCCGTCGCCGAAGCCCGACTGATGCGGCCCGCCAGGCTACGCGCCTCGGCGTGCAGCTCCACGTTGCGCCGAAGGCCTTCCAGCCACTCGGGCTGCTGTCTCGACGTGCGCCAGGGCAGCTTACACGGCGAGGACCCTGTTGGCCAGGTTGCCGTCGCCGCCCGCGATTGCACCAAGAGCCTCTTCTGCGATTCGCAGCCGCTCGGCGCGGTGCGCGGACAGATCACGCGCCAGCCGCACTGCGCCATCCGCAGCTGCAGCGGCCCTGGCCCGTCGCACACGCCGCGCCGCCGAGCTGCCAATGTGCGCCACCTCGGAAGGAACGCTTCCCGCCACCATCCATTCCATGCGCGCACCACCCGCCGAGTGAAACAGCGGTTGTGGGGCCAGGCTCATGGCATGAAGCTGGCAACGGATGATGATTGATGCTGCTGATGATGATGAGGATACTGATGCTGATGATGCTGATGATGATGCTGTTGCATGATGAGGTTGATGTTCACGATGGTGATGACGATGATGATGGTTATGCTGCTGATGATGATGATGTTGATCATGATCCTGATAGTGCCAATAATACTGCTAGTGGTTATGCTGATGATAATGGTTATGCTGATCATGAGTCTGAAGATGCTGATGATGCTGATGGTGATGTTGATGATGATGCTGCTGGTGATGATGAGGAGGAGGGTGTGCTAAGCCTGTCCCTCGATCATAAACTATCGACAAGCGAGGCCGCTAGATGTTAGAAATTGCAAGTGTTTTGTTACACATGTTCTTTAATGTTTAGTCTCCAGACTGCTCTTGGTGTCAGGATCCATGGCGGCAGCACAGCGTACCAAGTGGAGGAGCTCCTTCTCCTGCGCCTCCTCGCTGCTTCGAGCATCGAGCTGGCAGCCATATGAAACAATGCGGCCGACTTCTGGAACCTGCTGACACCAAGTGCGTCAACACGCGCCCATGATAACACTAACAATGAGAAACAATTCAGACACCCCGGTTCTGGCGAAACCACACCGTTTCTTGTCCCCTTGGAATGATATCTCAACTCCCCGACCCCTGAATACGGAATCCCACCAAAGTCCCAACTGTATTCCAACACAACCGCAGTCGGATTCCAGCGAGAACCGGAGTACGGACTCGATGGTTTGCCAATGTGTTTGTGATGGCTATCCCTTGTCTCAATTCTTGGCTCGATGGTCTCGATTGCTCTCTTGGCCAATGCTGCGATACTGATCCGCGCAACTGTTAGACGAACTACTTTTCGCTGGGGTTGCAAGCGAAATCGCTCGGCGGCTCCCTCCCGTGCTGCAGATCATGCCGGGGAGGGGGACACGTCGTAGATGCCTCTCAGGGTTACACTTTAGCTCCGCAGGACCTCCTCCTCCTCGTCGCCCTCCAGAGGGAGTCAGGAGGAGGAGGATGAGGAGGAGGAGGATGAGGATGAGGATGGGGATGCGGATGAGGAGGAGGAGGAGGAGGAGGAGGAGGAGGAGGAGGAGCGGGATGCAGAGGGAGTGGCAGGAGGGAGCAAGCAGGGCACTGCGGACGAGCTCGGAGATGGAGAAGGAGCAGGGGGAGGATGGGGAGGGAGCAGGAGGAGGAAGAGGAGGAGAAGGATTTATGATGGCATTATGACCAGACTTGAATGTCTCTCGCTTTCCTTGGGCTCTAGAAGGTGCCTGAACTATCGCGGCTGGTTCCGCCTCGAACTCCAGAGGAGGCGGCTCGGACGGCACGAAACATGTTTGCCTGCACCATGCGCTCTAACGGGTGCCGGAAATCAGGGAAGCAATCTAGGAGATAGAGAGAGAGACAGAGAGAGAGAGAGAGAGCGCTCGCGAAACACTCTCATAGGGGGGGGGTCCCCTCTCAGCTCCCCCCCTCCCCTTGGACCTCCCCTGCCCGAAGCGCCCCCCCATCCCCTCTTTTTTCCGCCCCTCGGAAGCTGCCCCTCCTTCCTCCTCCTTCTCCTCCTCCTGCTCCTCCTCCTCCTCCTCCTGCTCCTCCTCCTCCTTCTGCTCCTCCTTCTGCTCCTCCTCCTCCTTCTCCTCCTCCTTCCTCCTCGTCCTCGTCGTCCTCCTCCTCCGTCTCCTCTTCTTACTCCCCCCCCCCCCCTTTCGCCTGTATCTCTTGGAAGGTCGACTTTTACCCTGGCCAGCTTCCGCCAGCACTCCGCCCGCAGAGCCGCCTCCGTTGTTTTTTACCTCCGCTGGCCTCCGCGGCCTTCCGAAAGGGGGAGCGTCCGTCAGGCCGCGGGGCCGACATCCGTTCGGGAGCGCGCGCCGCCTCTGAAGGGAGCCTGGCGTTCTCGAGGCGCCTCGGAGGACGTGGAGTAAGCGTGCACACGTGGCCGCTGCCTGTGATGATGGTCACTCCGTCCATGGAAAACCGAGACCAGAACACAGACCTCGAACATGATTGCAACATTGCGCGCCTGAACATCGACCCATGCACTGCATACCGAAAGAGAACCAGCAGGCGGCTGCGGCGGCGCGAAGACGGCTCCTCAATGGTGCCATCGAGCGGGTCCACCCACAAACACGTATCGTCGTAGGTGAAGGACTTGGCAATGGCCTGAAAGACCCCCCATCCCTCCGGCGCCCGGAACCTTCCAAACTGCGGCGGTACCAAATTCTGCGCTCCCGCACTGATATGTATGGTTCGCCGTGAGTTGATCGTGTTGGGTCCTGGGGCCCGACGCGGGCATCACGAGGTCAAGCTCAGAGCCGTCTTGACCCTGTAGGGACGCCGGAGGCCCGGGAGGAGTGTGGCGACCCTGCAGCTGCCCCTCTATTGGTCGACTGCCGCCAGGATTCCCGGGCCCCCATCGGGGGGTCCACGAGCGGGGCGTCCGGCCCCCGCCCCGCCCCCCCCCCCCCACCTCCACCCCGCAGGCAGGCACAGGACGGGCGTGTGAAGAGGTCGAGGTACTTCGCTGCAGCAGAATCGGCCGCAACAGCGTCGGAAGGCCAGGCCGGAGCATGGCCACAAGCCGGGCGTCCGATGTCGTGACTTCTTTCAAACGTGGCCTTGCCCAGAGGTCTGGACCCCCTTCCTGGGGACCAGCTTTTCACCAAGGGTCGCTTCATGACGGTCCCAAGGCATGGTCAGCCCTCCCGAGGCCAATCATTGTCCAAAGCCTGCCTCCGTGCTTTCTTCACGACGCGAGGATGTCATGGAACAGCGGGCAAGCACCTGGGTGAGCAAGCGAGCAAGAGGTTGCGCGAGGTACTCGGGGGCCCAGGCCCCAAGACGCTTGCCGCTCAACTCTTCCCAAGAACGCCTGAGCTCTCAACCGGCTGGGCCGATGGCGCTCCCCAGCGACGAAAGACCCAGACCCCCGACGTCGTGATTTTTTCACAAAGTCGACCCCTAGAGGTCTGGACCCCTTCCCGGGGACCGGTTTCTCATCCCGAGCTGTGTTTTGACAGTCCCAAGGCCCAGGAAAGGCCCCTGGAGGCCGAACATAGCGAAAAACCTCCCGCCGTTATTTTTTCACAGCGCGAGGAGGTCTGCATTGGAGGGCTCGGGTCCAAGAGCGGTGCGGTGACAGACCGCGCGGTGCCCTCGCCATCCCGAGAGACCTCGCCGAATGGCCCGCCGCCGCGCAAGGTCTGGTACCCCAGAGGCCCCCATCGCCCAGGCACGTCCTCGGAGAACGAGCCGAGCCCCAAAGCCGTGTGGTCACGCGGGCGGGTGGTAATGCGGGGTGGCCCAAGTGGGGGGTGAAGAGAAAGGCCCTACAGGGCCCCTGTAGGCCCCCTCTTGGGCCTCCGCTGGCTCGAAAAGGAGCCCTCAAGTGCTCCTTCAGGGTCTTTTTGTTCGCCCTCTATTTGCGTCACCCGCCTTTGCCACCCGTCCAAGTCACCCCGAATCCCGACTGCCTCACCACACGGTGTGGTCACCGCACAGTTGGGGGCCCCCCCTGACCGTCGCACGAGGGAGGAAACGTCGACCGGGGGGACCGCAGAGGAACGAAAAGCAACACAGGCGACAAGCTTTCGGAGGTCCCCGCACGACTCTCCTGGGTCGGTGCTGGACCCCCATCCCGTGGTGGCGCGGGGCGGCGTCGGAGGCGCCGCCGGGGCGTTCCCACGCCGATCCAAGACATCCGAGCGGACCTCCGGCCGTTCATGTGTTCACTTGGGCGCCCGAGTTATCCGGGATAACTCGGGTCCGGGGTAACGCGGGTTTGGATTCCCGAAAAACGAACCCGCGTTAGCCCTGACCCGAGTTACCCCTGATGATTTGGGGCTCTGGACGCCCGAGTTATCTGGGGTAACTCGGGCCCGGGGTAACTCGGGTTCGGAATCCCGAAAAGCGAACCCGAGTTAGACCTGACCCGAGTTACCCCTGATGATTCGGGGCTCTGATTCACGTCCTTGTTCCTCCGTGGCCAAGCCGCTCGCTGCCTGGACATCTTAGAGTCCATGGCGCGAGGTGCCCGGCTGCGGCGAGAGATCTGCCCCTGGCCGCGCCAGCCCCTAGCACTTCTGCTGCCGCGCACTGGGCCTGCCTTCCGGGCGCGTCGTCCCGTGGGCGCCCCGTTCCCGCCCCGTGCCCGCCCCGGGCGCTGGCTGGCGGACCTGGATTTTGGACGCCCGAAATGGGTACGGAAAGAATGGGTACTGTGCCCAACAGCAAATGTTGTCCCAAACCAACGGCGGCCGTTGTTGGGCAGGCGGCCGTTTGTCTCGAATGGACACAAGCCGCGGCGGCGCGGACAGCGAGTCCTGTTCAAAATGAACAGGATCTGCTGTTGGGCATTGTGCCCATGCTTTCCGTACCCATTTCGTTCGTGCCGATGGATGTTCTGCCGGCGGGCGCCTCGTGCCCGCCGGGTGCGCTGGCTGGTCGTTGGCGGTCTCCGGCGGGTGCGCAGCCGTGGGCTCCTCGCGGGCGCCTCGAGAGCAGCGCGCTGGCGTCTCCGGGTGCACAGATCGGCTGCGCCACATCGCCTGCACCGCACGGACTGCGCCACGTAGCTTGGAATCCATGTGTTGCGCGTCTCTGGGTGAACGCTCCTCTCAGAAGAAGAATCGGCTCTACCCCCTGGGGGTTGTCGACCCCCCCTGGGACAGTGCGAATTACACATGTTTCTGCACCGTCGCTAATTTTCCACATGCGACCATAACATCCCAACTTTGCCGGCATCGCCCCCCCTTCACCCCTGTCAAGTAAGACCATGCCCGCGCAGTCTTCCATTTCAAACAATGATTTTTCAAGCGCCCCCTGCAATAAACATACACAGTCAACGCACGCGCGCGCGCAAATGCCGAAGTCATGCCGAACACATTCGTTTGCAAACTTCTCAACAGGAGCACGGCAAGCACGCGTCAATTCTTCAGACAAATCTGGCCGATTTTCTGCCCGCGCGCAACTGCTGAAATGTCATGGGAGAGCCATCTAGCGCTAGCAACTTCGCCCAGAGCGCGCGCTATTACGTGCTACTATCTCACCGCGCAGCTCATCCGCGCTGATCTCGCATGCGCCCAGCCGTGCAAGCCCCATGCGCACGCCGCCACGCGCGCCTCGGAATCTTTGCGCAGAGCTTGGTTTTCGAAGCGTTTCGACATGAAGCTCTTCAGCAGCATTTGGAGCACCAGCTGTTTTCCAACACATAGCCTGCCATATTCGTATTCTGCAAGCGAACTTCTTCACCATCAACCTCATCATCAACGCCAACGCACCCCCGCGGTTAGCGTCACCGTCAATTGCCGCAATGGCCGTCACCAGCAGCCAATCACCTTCATCACCAACACACGGACATCATCATCGTCGCGGTCACCAGCATCGGCGACGCCGCTGGCCATGCCGTCGTCATCGTCATCATCGCCAGCACCATCGCTACTATTCTCATAGTTGCCGCCGCCGTCGACGTCATCATGATATCGCGCCTGCCCGGATCACCGACCCGCACCGAAGTGCGCGGGCTCAAACGCGGCCTTTGAGACGCGCTTGGAAATTCCCATTTGAGTCGTACGTGGTGCCTGCTGTAGAACATGAACATACCGTAGACGGAGCTACCTTTTCTCCGACCTTGTACTGCGTCGAACGCAACGGCAGCGTTGCCTATAACCCCCGAATGTGTATATATATATATATATATATATATACACGTAGCGCCACCCAATGTGCCCATAGACGCTTGTGGCTAGAACATGAGAGGGGCATGTGGCATGAGCACCAGATACTGGTCTTCTAGAAGCAGGTCGACGTTGCCCTCGAAGGTGGCGCCATCGCGGCCGCTTCCATTGTGCCGAGCTAGCTTGCCGCTCCGTGCGCCAGCCTGCGCGCAAAGCGCGGCCGCAGAGGTGCCCCAGCCAACGCCAAGCAGCCACCGCAGCCGCAATTTCATGGGTCTTGCAAAGCAAATTGACGATTCAGTCGGGCGAGCACTGATAGCACGCATAGATTGTACCACGAAGCTTGTACCTCATACATTACACGATACGTGTTGCACGACACCTCTCGCGCCACATAGCTTGCACTACATATTTTGAACCACGTAGAGCGCACCAGTTAAATTGCACGACAGAGGTTGCGCATCTAGAATGTTAACATTCACTTATCGTGGTCCACGCTGTGCCCGCACGGGATCGCCTCCTGTTCCTTTACTCATTGCACATCCTCTGCCCGCGTGGTTGCTACTTTTGCAGGGTTCAAAGTTGGCTCCCTGTTGTTTATATCAGGGCGCCACGACCCCGCGGTAAAGCTGGGACATAATAACAAACGTCCGATTCCGCCAGCGGCGCTCTGGGAGAAATCCAGCGAGGGCTGGCTGAGCACTAAATGAAACCGCTGGCCGCTAAGTACGAGGGGTCATCATAAAATCACACAACGGCATCTGCGTAAACTTGAGGAGGTCCGCGCGGATGCCCTGAGTCGGCGCTTGAACCCCCCCTGGCGCGCGGAGCACGTCACGGGCGGCGCTGGAGGCGCCGCCAAGAGGAACAAGCGCAGGCCCGAGAAATCCGCGCGGAGCTCTGACAATTCATGCCTATGCACTCTGTCATTGTCCGATGACTGCTTAAATAGAACAATTGGTCGCTACGTGGGCGTCTTCCAATGCCAACCCGACGCAGGCCTTCCGAGCAAGCTCGAAGTCCGCTGGGAGGACACCGCGGCCTCGTTCGTACCGCTCACCGCTCTTCGAGTGACCTGGGCGATTGCTCACCCGAGCGCGCCGACTAAATTCCAATCAGTGACTGGCTGGCGGGGATCGGCTACTTACACACAACAGTGACCCTGGTAGAGCGGCTTTTGGTGCGGATTGTGGGCCGCGGTGGCAGGCCAAATCCGAGCCCGAAGCCAATGCCCGGGGGGATCCCTGCTGGCCCGCAATAGAGGTCACTCCGGCCAGAAACCACTCTTCCGCGCAGCCGACCAGGAACGGGCCGGGAGCTGGGCTCTCCGAGAAGAGCGCGAAGCACGGGCCAGCCAGAGAAAACGGCGCCTCCGAACATCGCCTGCGGCGAACACGGAACCTATCGGCGCACACACGGCGGCAAGCCGGTCTGCACCGGCCGCCAGGACGAACAGCGGGCGCAGCGCGGCGGGGCGGCGGGGAGCAGGAGCTGGCTCAGACTCCCGACGTCGTGCTTTTCGCCGCTCCCAGAGACCATGGCCCCCCGAGGATTCCTGCACCGGTGGCTTCTGTAGCCCCGTGCCGCTCTGCAGACCTCCCCGGGGCCCGGCGGGGGCCCCCCGAGAGGCCGGCCCTGGCCCCTGGACCTCCCGGCGCGAGGCGCGGGGGTCGAATCTGCTCGCCCACGGCGCGGGGGGAGGCGCCTCGAGGTGCTCCGAGGCGCCCGCTGGCTCGGGTGGGGGCCTTGGGGCCCCCCCCCGGCCCCCGACGTCATATGGCTTTCTCCTCGCGCCGACCCCCGGCCGTCCGGACCCCTTCCCCGGGGCGGGCCTCTCGCCCCGAGACGCTTCCTGGGCGGCCCCGGGGGCCCCTGCAGAGGCCTCCTCGAGGCCGAGCCCGGCGAAGCGCCTCCCGCCGTGACGTCCTCGTTCCTCGAGGGGGGCCGTGTGGGAGGAGGTGGAGGCACGGAGCGAGGCCTGCCCCCCTCGCGCGCACGCCCCCCCCCCTCAGAAGAGCGCCGCCACGAGCCAGCACGAGCACGCCACGGCCGCTAGGGCGATGGCGACGAGGTGCCGCGAGAGCTTCGCCGCGGGGGCGGCCGCGCCGCACGCCGCGGGCGGGGCCCCGCCGCGCCCGCGGGGCGCGCCCGCCTCGCCGGCGGCGCCCTCGGCCTCGGGGTCCCGCGCCCGCGCGACGCCGCCCGCGCACTCGACGCCCGCGGCGTACGCCGCCCTGTCGGGTCGGGCGCGGGATCGGGCCGCGAAGTCCAGTCCCAGACCCCCTCGATGCACGAAAACGTCAGGACGGTGTTTCACCACTTGATTTTCGGCCTCCGGGGGCCCCTCCCGGGCCACGGGGCCGCCAACAAGCCGACTCGGGATGAAACACTGGACCCGGGGAATCAGGTCGAAACCTCTGGGGGTCGACGTAGTCATACAAAAAACCATGACGGCGGGGGTCTGGGAAATCGGGTCGGCCCGAGAGCGGGTCGAGTCTCGCCAGCGAATCGTCCCGGATCGGATCGCCGCGCCCCGCTTCCGGCTGACCCTGGCCGATATGCCGGTGGATGGAGCCGGATCGCGCATCGAATTGGGAATCGCGGCCCCAGCGGGCGAATGGAATCGCATCGAATCGGATCGTGGGCGGTCCTGCCTGTGGCGGCCCAGGAGCTCCTCCAGCTCGCTGGAGCCCATGGGCGACCACAGTACGTCGAAGTCGTTGGTGCCGCCGAGCTCCCTGGTTCCCAGAGAGCCGACGCTCCGGAAAAATGAGAGCGGGCATTTTTCGGCCGCTTTCGGCCTCCAGGCGCCCTTGCCGGGTCTCGGGAGCGTCAAAAAAGGACCCGGGAAGCAAAGCTGGCCCTAATTAGGGAAGTGGTCTGGACCTCTGGGGCCCACGCATCGACAAAAGTGGAGCAGCCGGAAGTCTGGGTTGGCATGAGGAGAGCCAGTCCTGGACCCCGGAGGCCTTCCTCCAGGAAGAGCTCTCCACCCCGAGGCGCTTTCTCTGGGGGTGCTGGGAAGGCCCGCGGGGGGCCCTCGGTGCTCGAAAGACGCTGACAGATCCCCAGGGCCCGCTTCCCTCAAGACCCGCTTGCTTCATGGCGGCCTGGGCAGCTGCCCGGGATCTATGTGCCTCAGGAGCTCCGCCCGGAAGTCGGAGCCGAGGATGTGCATCTTGGAGACGGTGGTTGGGTCCAGCGCGGGGCGCAGGGCCCGCCAGACGGCCGTGAAGACCCACGGCGTGTTCACAAAGAAGTGCATCCCCAGCGTCTCGGGGTAGCAGCGGGCACCGATGGCGGAAGAAGAAAGCGCGGCACGTGCGAGCGTACACTGTCGGAGGCCCCCGCGCCGGTCTCCGGGATCGGCGCCGGGCTTCCCCTGGCGGCGCCTCAGCTGGCGCCGCCAATGGAGCGCGCGACCCCGCGCGCCGGGGAAGGCGGCCCAGCGCTGGTCCCGGAGCTCCGTGCGGATCTCCGACAGCTCGGGCTCCCGCCGGCGTTCTCCTCCCCGGGATGGAGATCTGCTCGAGGAACACGGCGAGGCTGCGCGGGTGGGGCTTCCAGGCCATGCCGGCCAGGTCCATGATGATCACCTGCGACGTCACCGGGCGCCCGAGGAGCGCGCTGGCCTCCGCCATGCGCGCGGCCTGCACCTCCTGGAGGCGCACGAAGCCGTCCACGATGGCCTCGGCGCCGAAGCGCTGCAGCATCTCGGGGAAGTTGCAGGAGGCGACGCCCCGCCCGGCTCCCCCCTCGGACTCCTCCTCCTCCTCCTCCTCCTCCTCCTCCTCCTCCTCTCCTCCTCCTCCTCCTCCTCCTCCTCCTCCTCCTCCTCCTCCTCCTCCTCCTCCTCCTCCCCTCCTCCTCTCCCTCCCTCCTCCCCCCCCTCCACCCTCCTCGCCCTCACATCCTCCGCCTCCTCCTCCTCCTCCTCCTCCTCCTCCTCCTCCTCCTCCCTCCTCCACCCTCCTCGCCCTCACATCCTCCGCCTCCTCCTCCTCCTCCTCCTCCTCCTCCTCCTCCTCCTCCTCCCTGAGACCCCTTGCGTCGCAATGTTTTCGAGCTTCGGAACATGCCGCATCACGAGTTCGGGGGCCTGCGGGTCTCAGGGGAGGCGTCCCTGGCCTCGGGGCGCCTCCAACTTTCTTGTTCGCGCCGTCTTGCCGCCCCTGGGGCCCGCATTCGAGGCCTCACGACGGGCGCTCTGGCTGGAGGCCTGGGCCTCTCCCGGGCGAGCTCGCGGGGGCACCTCGGGCCAGGGGCGCCCCTGGAGGCAGCGCCCGGCCTCCCGGTCGTGCCCGAAGTAGGCCACCGGGCTGAGGCGCCTCCAGACGCTCTCCTTGTCGTGCCGCTCGACCAGGCGCTGCTCGGGGAAGCGCTCCACGCCGCCGCTCGACAGGCGCGGGTCGCGAGCGGCCGCCCTCGCCACCTCTATCACAGGAGCCCAGGACAGGCGACGCCCACACCACCAGGGCGAGGAGGTGCGAAGGGCAAGGGGGGTCTCCCTGGCGGTGCGGCCCTTCACGCTCGCTCGAGACATCCCCCGCCTCCAGCTCGGGGAGGTATCCCCAGACACCCGACGTCATGCTTTGTTCATGACGCCGACCCCCAGAGGTCGACATCTGGGGGTCGACGTCATGAAACAAATCAGAGATCTCGACCTACTCCCCAGGACCGGTTTCTCATCTGGAGTCGTTTTTTGACGGTGCCCGGGAAGGGCCCCCAGAGGCCAAAAATGGCGCAAAACTTCCCGTCGTGATTTTTTCACTACTCGAGGGGGTCTGGGATCGTGGGCCTCCTCGCGGGAGGTGGCCCCCCATGGTGGTGTTGGTGCCGCTTCTCCTCCCCCCCAAGAGGAAGAGGAAGTGGGAGGAGGAGGAGGAGGAGGAGGAGGAGGAGGAGGAGGAGGAGGAGGAGGAGGAGGAGGCGGAGGAGGAGGAGGAGGAGGAGGAGGAGGCGGAGGAGGAGGAGGAGGAGGAGGAGGAGGAGGCGGCGGAGGAGGAGGACCCCCATGGTGGGGTTGGTGCCGCTTCTCCTCCCTCTCGACACCTCGGCCCCCGAGGGGCCCGACGCCCGCCGCCGCAGGCGGTCCGCGCCGCTCTCCGCGCGCCAGCGCTGCGCGGCCTCGAACTGCTCCTCTCGGGCCCGAGGCGGCGGCGGCCCTCCCGCCTCCGCCCGCCGCCCGCCCCCCAAGACGTCCACTCCCAGACCCCCCTCGAGCAGCGACAAAAACCACGGCGCGAGGCTTTTCGCCACTTTCGGCCTCTGGGGGCCCTTCCCGGGCCTCGGGGCCGTCAAACACATGAGGAACCGGTTCAGGGGAATAGGTCGAAACCTCTGGGGTCGGCGTCATCAGAAAATCATGACGTCGGGGGTCTGGGTCTTTCGCCATCGCTCGGACGTGCGTGTTCTCTTGTTGTTTGCTCGAGGGTCCAGGGTGTTCCTCGATGGCCCTCGCCGAGCAAATATGCACACGTCCGAGCGCAATGCCAAGCTCTTGGCGGCGCGCACGGGGGGGCAGGGGGAGGGGGGAAGGCTTCTTAGAAGGAGGCTGCTTCTTCGAAGGAGGCTGCTTCTTAGAAGGAACCCAGCCTTACATCTATAGATGAGGCCCTCGCCTGCTCAGAGGCAGGGGTGCTTCTGAGAAGCCTTCCCCCCTCCCCCTGCCCCCCTCTGCGCGCGGCTGACCCTCCCCCCGGTCCTGGCAGGTTCTCCGAGGCGCATGCGGCCGTGGCGACGAGGCCACGCCCCCAGGAGGCCCCAGGAGGAGGACGCGACATGGACGCTGCAGGGAGGGCTGCCGCGGCCTCGACCTGCCCCCCGCCTCCCCCCCCCCTCCCCACCAGACAGGCGATGTCCAGATTTTGAAACGGATTCCCCGAGAACTGCTAGGGTTAGGTCGAGCCTCTTCCCCTGCAGGGGGATTTTGGGCGAGAGAATAAAAAACAAAAACCAACTAACAAAACTACCCCCCCCATGAGCAACAATGGTACAAACATCGTCCCCAGATGTTTTTGTGTGTGACTACTGTTGAGCATTCCCCCTGCAGAGGAACAGGGCCCGACTCCATGCCGGGGCCGGTTGCTCCCCCCGAGCCGTCTCTTTTGACGGCCCCTCGGAGGCCCGGCGAAGGCACCCCCTCGGAGGCCGCACAGGCTGCCGGCAGCACCGCCCGCCGCTGCCCTGTCCGACACGACGCGAGCGCGTCAGGGGCGCCCTGGTCCTTGGCAGCGGCCAGGTCCCAGCGCCGCGCCCGCAGGAAGCGCAGCAGCAGCTGCTCGTCCGCCTCTCCGGGGGCGCACCGCGGCAGGAACCAGGCTTTTTTCTCCGCCGTCGAGGGCCGCCCTGCTCCCCAGAAGTTCGTGCCCCCACGGTGCCATGTGGGGGTATAAGCTTTGCAGCCGCCGGGGGGGGCAGGCGTCCCCGACGGCGGTCGAGTGCACTGCACTAGAACAGGAAGAAACGCCATAAATACAAACTTTAGGCGCTCCGCGTGGATTTCTCGGGTCTGCGCCGGGACCCCCCTCCCTGGCGTGCGGAGAGCGCCAACAGTTGTTTGTTTTAAAACTAGAAAGAGATACACATATTCCTCTTCCCATATTTTTATAAGCCTGGGCGGAGGGAAAACCCGTCCCCCCCCCCCCCCCCCCAACCGGACTCCCGGGATCTGGGGCTTTGGAACCTTCCGGACGGGCCTCGAAGCGGCCCCCCGGGCCTTGCAGGGCGTTTTGACAAGCCTCCGCAGCACATCTGGGGCGATCAGGGGGGTCATCGGAGACGTCCCAGAGACCCCCAAGACAGCACAAGAGCGCTCCAAGAGTGACCGACGTGACCTCAAGATGGTCCAAGAGGCCTCCAGGACGGCCCCAAAGAGGCCTCCAATAGCACTCCCAAGAAGGCCCCAAGAGGCAACACTCATTAGTTTTCTGTGGGTTTTTGGTGAATTTTGGTGTTCTCCTCTTTTCGGCTTCCCGACGCTCCAAGACGGCGGGCGGTCTTCTGGGCGTCCGAAGCCGCCCGGGAGGCTCCAAAATCGCCCCACAAACATCCGAAAGGGCTTCCAAGCTGTCCGAGAGAGCCCCAAAACGGTACAACACGGGCCAAGATGGCCCTCAGGGAGCCCCATGGCGGCCCAAGATGGCCCCTAGACACCCTCCGAAGCATTCCAAATCGTGACCCGGTCGTTCAGGGAGACCGCGGTTGGAGCCAGGGTGGCCCGAGGAAGCCCCCAGAGGCCCCCAGAATACACCCAGGAGGTCTCCTGAAAGCATTAAGAAAGCCTGAAACAACTTTTGTGAGGCCCCCAGAGGCTCTCCAAGGAGGAGCCTCCGCATGGAGGAAGGATAACGAATCACATTATTATAGCGGGGATGCCGGAAAAGGCAACAAGGAGTTATCGCTAAATTGTCGGCTTGACCTTCCTGCAATTTCGCTTGGGTACCACACTTCCAGGACCAAGGTGCATGGCGCGAAGCGCCACTGCAGTCTTGTATATATATATGTATATATATATACACATACATTTACACAAGACTTTATGAGCGCGCTTCGCACGCCGAGTCAATCTTGGCCCACTGACGAGAAACACATGTCAATGCGGAGATGTGGCCTGATATGCCGACGCCCTCCCGACCGTCGTCAGCTCTCTGTGCGAAGTCCCCCTCCCCCCTCGCGTGTCTGAATGGGCCTGGCGGTGGTCCCGCGAGTTCTGGGGTCTCTTGGAGCATGCCTTGGAAAAGTCGGAAGCTCTAGGGGGAAGCTGTAGGCGTCAACTAAACTAGGACTGGGCGAAAGTCAGGGCAGGCGCACGGGGAGGCCTTCGGGGTAGGACCACGGGCGGGCCCTCGCGGGAGGCCAAGGGATTCGAAGGGAAGGGCGCGGGTGGGTCGATGGCAGGTCTGGGTTGTGGACTCTCCGGGAGCATGTCTTGGTGACGATCGGAAGCTCCAGAGCGAGGCCCTGGCCCAGGGAAGGCCTGGCCGAACGCCGAGGGCAAGCGCGCTTCGAGAGGCTCTGAGGGCAGGCCCACGGGAAAGGTCTGGCAGGATGCCCAGGGAGCCTGGCGAAGAGTAGCCTTGGAGTGGGGCTATGGCAGGTCAGGGGCCAGTTAGGAGTGTACAGGAGGAGGAGGAGGAGGAGGAGGAGGAGGAGGAGGAGGAGGAGGAGGAGGAGGAGGAGGAGGAGGAGGGGGGAGGAGGAGGAGGAGGAGGAGGAGGAGGAGAGAGGGAGGAGGAGGAGGAGGAGGAGGAGGAGGAGGAGGAGGAGGAGGAGGAGGAGGAGGAGGAGGAGGAGGAGCCAGGCGAGCCCACGGGACAAGCTTAAAGGGAAACCTGTCGGGTAGGCAGAGGGGCGGGCCCGAGGGGGAAGCCCGTCGGAGAGGCGCACCGGCAAGTGCTGGAGATGGGGGTCGGCCTTGGGCCAGGACCGAGCCCGCATCGCGACTGCTCCTGCAAGGTGCTTGTCGCGCCCTCTGCTTCGATGGGTGCCGAACCCGCGAAGGTGGTCAGACGCACTGTTCAAGCGACACTCTCCGAGCCAGGTGGAGCCGCGGGGACATCCACGAGGCCCGACACGCACGAGAAGAGAGGAGGGTGGAAGAGAACGTAGAGGACGGAGACAAAAGGGAAACAGATGATGGGGAGCAGGTGGGGGGGAGGGGAAAGGAAGAAGGCAGAGGATGAATATACGGAGGGAGTAGGAATAGGGAGGAGGGAGGAGGGAAAAAGAAGGAAAGGAGGAGTAGTAGGGAACCGATGCGGCTGGCTTGACATGCAGAACATGCTCAGGCGCCGCAGGTGTGCTGCGCAGACCGATGGCCAGCGCGCCCGTCATCGTAGGGGGAACGCTGGCCAACGAGCTCGCGAGCGGCCACGTGGGCATCCAGCTGTGAACGAGGTATTTTGAAGCCAGCCTTGCGTGGACCACACGTGCTGACATGAGCGGGAAGGGGGAGAGTGGAGAGGAGAACAACATGAGAAGGTGGGAGGGCGAAAGAGGGAACACGAGGTAGCGGGGGGAAGGTGGAAGAAGAATGAAGAAGAGATGGGAACGCACCGTGCGGTATGCTCATGCGGAACCCTTGAAGACGCCACACGTTGCATACGAAATCGGACAGGTGGCACAGTCAGGAAGTGGAGGTTCACTGTGAGCCCGCCGCCGCATCGTGTTTGACTTTTGACTCGCCTCCTTCGACCCCAGGGCATGTTCTTGGAGCAGAGACGCAGAGTGCAAAATACGGTTCACAAAATGCTGAAAACGGCATTCCGTGGGCCACGCGTGCCTTGATCAGCGGGGACGGGACTAAGCACCGCGGCCCGCATCACAAAGCACTGACGAGCCTCGTCCAGCCGTGGCGACGGGGCGTTCGAAAAGCGGAGAAAGGAACTCGGCGGCGCACACCACGACGCGCGAAATGCGATCGCAGGCCGCAACTGTGGAGGGGGGCTGGAATTGTTGGGTTTGCGCAGGAATCGCTGGGACGTGTCTTGGGCGCGTTCGACAAAGCTCAATGAAGCGTTGGGGGCCTCTCGGAAGTCTCTTTGATTTTTTTTGGGGCGCCTCGAAGAGTTCCAAGACGGTTTTGGGGCTTCCTTGGGCTGTCGTGGGCGCTTGATTGAGACCGTCTTGGGAACTTCCTGCTGCCGTTTTGGGCATCTCCCCGGGCCGTCTTGGACCCTTTGGGTGGCTCCCGGAGCCGTCTGGGGCTGTCTTGGGCGCCTCTTGGACTAGAGTGGAGCCTTTGTTAAGCCCTTTCCGAAACCTTTCTAGCCTTTGAAAAATACATTGGAAGGCAGTGGGGCCGCCGTGACCGCTGGGAGCACCCAAGCTGCGCATGTGCCCAAATGAACGTTTTGCGAAAGGAATTGGGGCAACTTTTGGCTTCTGAGGGCTCTACAGAGGGTCCCGCTAGAGCCCTCTTGAAACGTCTTGGGAGGCTCCGAGGCCGGTTTGAGGCCATCTTGGGGCGTCTCGGGTCGCTTTGGTGTCGTCTCGAAACCTCTTGACTTGACTAGAAGCTGTTCTGAACCTTCTCGGGGCATGTGTGGTCGGTTCGGGGGGCAGCCCAGGGGCCGAAAATCGTTATGTGTGGGCGAGGTGGGGGCCATCCCCGGGTATGCTATTCTTCTTCTTCTTCTTGTTCTTCTTCATCTTGTTATTATTATTTTTCTTCTTCCTCTTCTTCTTCTTCTTCTTCTTATTATTAGTGTTGTTATTATCATCGTTATTTGTATTATTGGTATTTGCATTCCTATTATTCATATTCGCTTTCTTGACGAATTATTATCATTGGAGAAGGAATACATATATAGATATGTATATATATATATACATATATATATATATATATGGATATATATATATATATGCACATGTCGATCTACGCTCGCTACGCCTCCGCGCCGCCCGGGCCCAGCAGCGCGCGGAAGTCGGCCAGCCGCGCGCGCTGCTCCGCCGGCAGGCCGCCGGCCGCTGCCGGCGCGGCCCGCGGGGTCTCCGCGGCGCGCGCCTGGCTGCCCGCGGCGGCCGCCGCGCGCCGGCGGCCCGGGCAGGTGAGGCACGTGGCGTCGGCCGCCATCCTCTGGCGCCCCGCGTCCCCCCCCCCCCCTGCCAGGGGAACGCACAATGACGTAAGCGCAGAACAGCGCGGAGGTCCGCGCGGAGTTCCTCGGAGCGGCGCTGGATTTCCCCCTCCCGGGCGCGCCAGGGGCGCGCCAGGGGCGGCGCCGCCAGGGGGTCCAGCGCGGATCCGAGAAATCCGCGCGGACCTCCGCGTTGTTCTGTTTATGTCGTTGTTCGTTCTCCTACCTGCGCCGTGCCCCCAGACCCCCTCGGGCAATGAGCATCGCGACGGGAGGTCTTGCGCCATCTTCGGCCACTGGGGGGCCCTTGCCGGGCCTCGGGGCCGTCCTGAAGCGACTCGGGAGGAAAAGCCGGTCCCGGGGAATGGGCCGAAACCTCTGGGGGTCGACGTCATCACAAAAAAATCCTGACGTCGGGGGTCTGGGCCCTGCGCCGTTCCCAGGCATCGGGCGTCTCGAGCAGACTCGAGGCGGACGCTCTTTCCATTGCCGCCGGCCCGCCTCGGGGCCCCTGCGCGGGGCCGCGGGGCCGTCAAAGCACGGCGCGGGATGGAAAACCTGGCCCCCCGGGAAGCGGTCGAAAGGTCGGGGCCCGCCGCCCCGAGAGACTCGCAACGCCGCATGCCCGGGGTGGGCTTGAGGCGCCCGGGGGCGCAAATGGCTGCGGAGCGCGGGGGGGTGGAGGAGCAAAGGGGGAGGAGGGGGGGGGGGAGGTCTGCAATGGGGGCGGGGGCGGGCGGAGGGGCCGAGGAGGGAGGGCAAGGAAGGGGGGCGGGGGAGGAGGGCGAGGGGGAGAGAACGATGAATGGGGGAGCGGGGGGGACAGAGATGCCGCGGACAGGCGCTCAGGGCCTGTGCGACAGAGAGAACGTGCGAGTGGGAGAGAAGGAAATTGAGAGAGAGAGAGAGAGAGAGAGCGAGAAAGAGAGACAGAGAGAGAGAGAGAGAGCGAACAAAAACAAGAGAAAGAGAGAAACATAGAGAGAGAGAGAGAGAGAAGCAGACAGAGAGAGCGAGAGAGAGACAGAGAAAGAGAGAGAGAGAGAGAACAAAAAGCAGAGAGAACAAAATACTGGTATGCATGTGTGAAATTGGTGAAGGTCATATGGCCCAGTATGACCTCATTTGGAATAGTAGTCTCACACATGTGGCTGTTTTCATGCAGCTTGGGACGCGCGTGAAACACATGCTCTGGGCTATGGTACAAATATTTCACCTCGCATGTAGAACACATAATTGGACTTTCTGGGGAGGGGGGCGGCGCGGCAGTGCCATTGACAGTACTTACGGTGAACTTGCAGATGCTAAATGGTCGAGCTTGTCGAAGCTCGGGTTCGCGCGACATTCGCACGCCAGTGGCGCAGACACCCAGGCCCCAGCAGCACGCGCAATTAGGAACAGCGCCTGCGCTAGGAAAAACGACAGATGAGCTGCGTGGGAGCGCCTGCGCTATCGAGAGAGGAGGTAGCGCTAGGTCGGGCACGTCCTCCTACAGGCGGATTTGGGACTAAAGATACACCTAGCAAAAGTACTCAAAGTAATCTAAAACAGTCGAACGATCGTCTCCATCTTACTTGTCCAATGCTTAAATATTCCTCCTGTAGAAGGACATGCCCGACTTAGAGGTGGCGGGCTTAAAGCAGCGAGGGAGATTGACAACGCCGAAGTCCCGCTCCTGTCTGCATCGCTCGCAGCGCGATCGCATCAACGCCAGCCGCATGCCACGCAAATGCTGCGAGCACGCCTTCGGCGGGCCACGCCTCGAGGTGCCCTGCTGCCAGCCATCGATCGGAGCGGTCTGTCACCGCAGCCGCGTGCGACAAGGCTTCCACCAATCCAAGATCCGCCACGGTGCCCTTGAGGCACGACTTGGAATGTCCTCAGGTCCCCTGTGTCGTCCCGCAGGGGGCAACTCGTCAATCCTGAGGATCTTTAAAAGGCCTGGGGGCCAACGTTGCCAAATCTTCTGGGGTGCGCCGCGTGGCTTTTGGGGCCCCCGGCGTGCCCCCTGGGGCCGGGGTCGAGCAAAATGGCCTCCAGTCAGCGGAAAAAAAAATGCTCCCCGAGAGGCCTGCTAGAGGCCTCCCAAGTGGTAGCAATCATTGATTCTCCTTGGGTTTGTGACGGATTCTGGCGTCATTGTCTTTTCGGCCCCCCGACGCTCCAAGACGGCCTCAGACACCCCCAGTGTCACTCCTGGACTCGAGAGGCCCCCAAGAAAACGCCCAAACTGCTGCAGAGGACCTGAAGACGGCCCAGGAGGCCTCCAAGACGGCCCCAAAAGCTCCCAAGATGACCCCCAGAAGGCGACCAGACGGAGGGCCCGAAAGGACATTGCGAGCCCTCGGCCCCGAGAGGCCCTGAGGAGGCCCCCAGCAACCCCGGAGAGGCCCCGCGGAACTCTTAAGAAGCCCTCGGGAATTCCAAAGAGGCCCCCAGGAGGCCCCCGAACTGAGTCCAAGAGGCCCGCGACAGCGATCCGAAGAAACCCCAAGAAACACCCCAGAAGACTCTGACCCACAATCCAGGCACAGTGGCGGGATGGGTCGAAAACCATTCGACATCGAACGCCCCAAACGCAGGCGCACACTTCGCTACCAGCGCCTTCGAACTGAACGACATTACCAACGGCAGCGATCATACCATATGCAATTATTTTGTCTGCCATGGCCAGTCCCGCCCCAGGCAATCGCGACGCGCCGCCCGCCAGGGAATCGCCGAACACGTTGTTCTCTGGGCAACTCGCGCAGGCATAAGAGACCACGCGTGAATCTTGAAACGGCCCTGCGATCTAAACGCTCAACCACGCGCGCGCCCGCCGCAGCGTCGCGGCGCTCGCGCAGGCCGGCCACGTCAAACATCGCACGGCGATTCGGTCTGATGTTCTCCGTGCCGCGTGCGTCGGCGCGCTGTCGGATGTCCTCGGTGCGGGCGCGCCGCCGCGAGCCTGTCCCCTCGCGCGAACCCGCGCGCCTCTGGCCCGCCCGGATAATTGCCTCGAGCGTGGCGCGCGCAGCCTGCGACGGCGAAGCCTGGCCTTGACATCTGTCGTTCGGCGCGTCGAGGAGGTGGGGTTCCGCGAATTGTCTGGGCGGCGCCCGCGGCCCGATCAGCTCCGACGTCCGAGCCTTCTCCTGGTCCTCGCGCGGGGCCCGTCACGGGTCAAACGCCCTAAACAGTTGGGTGGGCATCGCCCTCGCGAGCACGACCGATCGCAACCACTTCGGAGCGATCGTCGACCGCTTCGGACCGATCGCAAACAGTTGCGATCGGTCCGAAGTGGTTGCGATGTTTCTGGGTCGTTTGAATAAGGTTTTGACTAAGTAAGAGATCATCAGAACGCTTCTGGGTGCAATGAGCTCCCTTAAGCAGCCCAACGGGAATCTGAAGAAGCGGTTGCGATGGGTCCGATCAAAGACGGCCGATCATGATCTCGGCTAAACTTGTAATTGAATCCGAACGTGGCCATGATCCGTATACGATTCCTATGTGATTCGTATGCGATTGAAACCGAAACTGCGCGAAACATGCCCGGTGTAAAACAACTTACATCTCAGGAAGGGGAGGAGGAGGAGGAGGAGGAGGAGGAGGAGGAGGAGGAGGAGGAGGAGGAGGAGGAGGAGGAGGAGGAGGAGGAGAGGAGGAGGAGGAGGAGGGAGGAGGAGGAGGAGGAGGAAGAGGAAGAGGGAGGAGGACGAGGAGGAGAGGAGGAGGAGGAGGAGAGGAGGAGGAGAGAGGAGGAGGAGGAGGAGGAGGAGGAGCAGGAGCAGGAGGAGCAGGAGGAGGAAGAGGAGGAGGACGGGAAGGAGGAGAAGGAGGAGGAGGAGGCGGAAGAGGAGGAGGAGGAGGGAGGGAGGAGGAAGAGAGAAGGAGGATGGGAGGGAGGAAGGGCAGGAGCAGGAGGAGCAGGAGGAGCAGGAGCAGGAGGAGCAGGAGGAGGAAGAGGAGGCGGACGGGGAGGAAAAACAGGAGGACAGGAGGGCCAGGCAGGCAGACGCGGCGGCACCGACCCCCAACATTATGATTTCTCCAGATCGTCGACCCCCAGAGGTCTGGACGAATTCCCCTACGGCAAGTTCGTGCGGCGTCGGCACTCGCAACATGTTTCGATCGTTCAACCGTGAATCGATCGCGGCCCCGATCGTTCAAGGTTGAATTTCATCGGGTACAGTGGCCCCACCGTGTCATGTAACGAAAATTCAAGGAACTTTCATTGGGCCGATGTATTTGACATCCTATTTTTCCCGCCCATCCCTTACTATGACGGTGGCATCTTTTCTAGAATCCCGTCCCATTGTGCGGGATGTTTGTTGTATCCACCGTTATCTGAGGAGGGAACAAGCGGGGGGGGGGATGGAGGCATGCGAGGAAACGAAGGAAGGAGGCAGGCAAGGGACGGAGGCAAGGGATTGGAAGGATGCGGGGGACGATCGCCCTCTTCTCCAAAGTCGCAGTCTCTTCCGTGACGTCCTTCCCTGGGGATGTCGACCTCTTCCCGAGCATCGTTGTTCAGCCTGAACTGGTTGTGACGGCCTCCGGACCAAAGGATCTCCCCCAGATGCCAGAAACGTAAAACAGCTGCCGTCACGATTGTTTTGAGGCGTCGCCTGGACCTGAGGGTGCTATAGTCATCGTGCTACCATTAATAATTCTTTAAACATGTGACAGCTTTTGTCTGGTCACGGCCAGCCCTGGCTACGGATAGAGTCCCCGACCTAGACCTAAGGAACGGCACCCAAACCTGCACCCCCCCCGGAGTCAAAAACGGTCAATATTCCAGCGTCTTGACTGGACAACTAGCACGACCGCGACGACGCAATTATGAGAATAGACCCTCGACGTTATAGCACAGAGAAGGCGAAGCCTAACCGATCTCCCCGGCTTTTTACTAAGGGTGCAACGTCTGGGTGGTTTGCCTTGATGCATAACAGAAAACGGCTTCTTGTCCCTGATGTGTCGGCCCAAAATGAGGTTCCCTCCCAAACAAGGGCTCGGGGCCCCTCAGCTGCTACAGTGGAGGCCCGGCCACAAGAAACAGTCCACAAGAAACCCGACCCAGAGACCCCAGGACGTCCGTTGGGTTTTGGTGTGGAAAAGTCATGCTTTCCATCGCAGGGCCATCGAAACCCAAGAAACCCAGGCACCCTGGAGGCAAGCAGGGTGTTTTTTGGCATGGATCTCCACTGTACTCGACGACGACCACGATCAGCGGCGGCCGTGGCGCCTCCGGCACCTCCATGCGGGGCAGCGGCGGCACCTCGGACAGCCGCGTTCGCGCTTCCTTGCCGCCTGGGGGGCGCCGGGCGGGGCGCGTCCGTCTTGGCAGGGCCTGGAGGTTTGAGGGAAAAGAAGGGAAGGAGGCAGGTGGGGAGGAGAGGGGGACGAAGAGGGAGAGGAGGAACAGGAGGAAAAAGAAGGAGCGGAGAAGGAGGGAGAGGAGAAAGAGGAAAGGGAGGAACGACGCTGGCTGGGAATTCCTGCTGCTGCTTCTCCTCTTTCCTCCTCCTCCTCCTCCTTCTCCTCCTCCTCCTCCTCCTCCTCCTCCTCCTCTCCAGCCCCACGCCCATCCTCCACGCCTCTGTCTCCTCATCTAATGACCCCCCTCCCCATCTGCCTCCTCACCTTCTTCCTTCCGCCTGCCCCTCCTCCTTTATACTGCTGCACCTCCTCCTCCTCCTCGTTCTCCTCCTGCTACTCCTAAACCCCGTCCTCCTCCTCCTCCTCCTCCTCCTCCTCTTCCTCCTCCTCTCCTCCTCCTCCTCCTCCTCCTCATTCCTCCCTCCTCGTCTTTCCTCCTCCTCCCACCCCCCCTGCTTCGTCACCCCAGAACCTTGTAGAACCCGCCAGGGATCCCCTTGAGCATCCTCCCTTCCGGGGGGAGGCTCCGTACGCACGGATAACCCTCCCAGAGGTGGCAAAGGGGCACGGAGCCAGTCTATAGGGCCTCCCTGGGAGCGCCCTGGAGGATCCTCGACTCTGGGAGATCTCGGCGGGGCACAGGTCGGACGAAAGGGCATCACCCATCGGTAGAAGTAGGTAGAAACATGAAGTAGGAAGGCGTTGAAAATAGATCGGGTGTCCGCCCGCCCCCTAATGAGGACGGAAAATATGAAGCTACTCTATCGTTGAGGTAGGAAGGCGCTTCAAGTAGATTGGAAGCTGGGACTTAACAAAATCACTTTCAACGACCGGTAGGTCAAGGCAGGGTTAGCGGCTAGTTAACCAACTCACGTAGCTCATTGTCCCGGCGCTGGGAGACGCTGGTGTACTGAGGGAAGACGCCCAGAGGTGGGGCCAAAACCAGCTGCATGCAGCAGATTTCCTCCCCGCCCCCCCTTTCGTCTCACGAATTGCCCAAGCCTTTGACGGACTACTTTTAAACTCCGGCGTGAATCCAACGACCTAAAAGCAAGCAGCGACGGTCTTGTTCCTCGCCACTCTCGGCCGCTGGGGTCATTTTTGAGTTACTGGTTAGGTTACAAAGACCGCCAAGAACGATTCAGGATGACATACCGGCCCTGGGGAACAAAGAGTCGGGATTTCTGTGGACCCCGTGTGCGGACCCAGACCCCCGACGGCGTATTTTTTTTCACAACGTCGACCCCCAAAGATCTGGACCCCTTCCCGGGTACTAGGTTCTCATCTTGAATCGTTTTTTGGCAGTCCCATTGCCCGGGCAGGGCCCCCAGAGGCCGGAAAATAGTGCAAAACCTCCCGTCGTGATTCTTTCACAACGCGAGGAGGTCTGGGGAGAGCTCACGGGCCCGCGGTTGGAAACCCCTGCGCGGCGCCAGGGAGGCCCCGGGGAAGCCTCCCTCCGGAGTAGTCCCAATTGCTAGGGCCCACCCGCCGCCCAGGACTGGTGGCAAGGCAGACCAGCGTCGCGACGACTTGTGTAAAGGGACCCCAGGACACACATAGATACATGCGCATCCCGGGATTCCCCATGAATGTCCCAATCTCTTCGGAGCCTTCGCCTTTCCCCCCCCCCCCCCCACTGTCCATATTTTCCCCATGTTCTCCTGGGAATCGACGCTTCCTTGTGCCTGCGTGTCTTTTTGTCCCCCCTCCTGCTCGCGTGGGCTGGTCTCCGGCACCGCGCGGATCGGCCCGCCCGGAGCGACCTCGGCTCTCGGACGGCGGGGGGGCCCTTCGGCGACGGCCCCCCCACGCCCGCGTTGGCGCCGCCTCCTCCGCGGCGGCACGGCACGAGCCCTGCGGTGCCCGGGGCGCCCCCTCCCCCCGGCAGGCGCCGCCGGGCGCCCCCCCCCCGTGGACGCCCCCGGAGCGCCGGCCGCGCCTCGTGCCGAGAGGGGCCTCAAAGAGGCGTTCGCGAGAGACCTCCCGAGAGACTCCGAGGGGCGCCAAAGAGGCCCCTGGCCCTTTTGCTCGCCCTCCTCCCCCCTCCTCCTCCTCCTCCTCCTCCTCCTCCTCCTCCTCCTCCTCCTCCTCCTCCTCCTCCTCCTCCCCCTCCTCCTCCTCCTATTCATCATCCTTCTCCCTCCTCCCTCATCCATCCATCCATTCATCCCTCCTCCTACTTCTCCACCGCTCCACATGGTTGATTCCGAAAGCCCTGTACCCAAAAACGTTATCATCTTCCTTCCGCCGCCTCCCGCCGAGCTCCCGCCGGCCTCCGCCGGCGGAGTGGCCTCGTTTTATTTCCGCGGGCCCTCCGCCGCCCTTCCGCCGCCTTCCGCCGGGGAAGAGATGACAACTCCTTTGATCCTCGAAGGCAAGGCCATTTTTGGAACGCCCCCTATGAAACGATGGCAAGGCTCAACCGACCAGACAGATACGGGGACCTCTGAGAACCCGCGAGTCTGGCAGAGGCCTCCTGGATCGGGTCGGAGTAGATGGGGTCGGAGGATCGCGCCGCATCGGCGATGGGCATCGGCGATGCACCGGTGATGCACCGGCGATGCATCGGCACCGTCGACGTGAAGCAAATCGGGCCCCACATCGAGCCGCATCGGCGATGCATCGGCGATGCGGCGCGTTTCTCCGACCCCATCTGCTCCGAACCCATCTACTGGGAGGCTTGGACAGACAGACTCGGGGACCTCTGAGATCCCGCGCGCCTGGAGGATGTGTCGGGCGCCGCGGTCGTCCCAGCGCGCCCTCGTCTGGAACGACCTGGCCGTATCCTGAGGCTGCCAGGCCACAACACTCACTGCCCCTGCCCACTGCCGTCCCAGTTTCGGCGGCTGCCGTCGTCGCAGAGAGGGCTGCAGCGCCATCAGCCGTCCGCCTGAGGCCTCGTCCTCCTCGCCGACGATCCGTATCCCCGGGAACATGTCGCGCAGGCTCGACACGATCACGTCCTGCTCGGGGCGGGGGAAGGTGGGAGCCAGGACCACTACAGTTGGCCCGTATCAGAAGGATGCGCGATAGGGATGCAAGGGCCTTGGACGCCCATTTCGAAGCTTTTCGAGCGGAGCGCGGCCAACGAAAGTGGCCAAGGATGGACCTAGGAGGGAAGGATGCAAGGGTACCCTTGGGAAGGTTGTCCATCCTCACCGTGCGGGCTGACTGTATTTATTTCGCTGTCTCGGCACCTGATGAAGGTCCATCGCTTACCTTGACTCCTGCCGACCTCCCAAACACAAGCTTTGGGAGTGCCGCCGACCTCGGCGCAGGGCCCAGCAGCACGAGACCGTTCGAGCGCAGCACTCCACCGGACACGACGCGCGCCGGAGGCCGCACCGACTGTGGCGCAGTGCCCAGGAGCAGCAGGCAACCAGTCGACCACAAATCTGCTAGACAAAATAAGAAATGGAGGAAAAACGGCAATTGGGGCGACTGGCCCAAAGGGGGGCGCCGCGAGGGGCCGTCCAGCGCCGATTCAAGATATCCGCGTGGACCTCCGACACGTTATGTGTACACCGCTTTTCTTCTTTGACCAATTAACGACGATCGGAGGCGTCCAAGAGGGAGGGGCGCAAATCATGGCAGGCGGCATGTGCGCGGCCCAGGGGGTGGCCGGGGACGTATCGAAATATGAAGGGGCGCCATGAAACCTGGGGAGACATCATGGCCCCCGCCATGATACCCCCCCCCTAGTCTTCACCCCCCTCGTGGCCGCCCCCGAGACGATGCTAGGAAACAATACGAATGGAACCACGGATCAACCTGTTTCCTGCCGCTGGGGCAGATCTTGGCGACCCGAGGACCACGACGGCGACGACGACGCCCAAGTCCCAGAACCCAATGTACGAGTCATGGCCCAGGGCGATGCTGCGCGACGGCCCGTCTCCTGTCCCCGAGCCTAGGGCAGGCTCGTGTCGTGACGACTTCGGCATTGCTTTCTCACGCCGCGCCTTCTCGATCGCAAGATCGCTTGGCATTCGCCGATTCTGGGGCACTGGCGGCGTTTAACCTTGAACGCCTTGACCCAAGGGATGAAGGACGAGACCCGACCAGAACTCGCGAGATCCGGAAGTGTGAATGGCCTTGAAGCTGAGAGACTGCGCAAGAAAGGAACCTGATCGGTTCTGGTGGCACAGCACGAGTTCGCCACAAGCGCTCTCAAGGAGCACGGGGCCCAGCTGAGAGGATGACTGGGCACGCGGGGATGAAGGAGGAGGAAGAGGAGGATGAAGACGAGGAGGAGGAGGAGGAGGAGGAGGAGGAGGTGGTTGTGGAGGAACACAATGACGCGGAAGTGGAGCATATGTGAAATTACGTACCCAAGCTTCCAGCGTCGTGAAGCAACAAGCACGACGCCGTGAACAGAAAAAGACCCGACCCGACACCTCAGCCCCGTCTTCGCGCGTCATGTCTTGAGCCGGATCGATCCGCAAGGGACCTCAGGCGAGGCAGCGCAGGACCCGCAGAGGCTCGCCGACAGCTGGTCTCTGTCGTGTTGACGTGAGCCCTGGCCTTCGATACCGCAGGGCTCCTTCAGCCTTTCACGATCTCAGCTGCCGGAGGCTCCATGAGGCCGTCGACTCCATCTGAGCGACGAAAACCAACGGGTCTTATCCGAGAGGGCATAGCGACCTTACGCCGCGGCTTACGCGGGCCGCCAGCGTGGCACACCGCGTGGAGAAGAGGGCGCTTACGCGCGACCTTACGCGGCAAACTTCCGTGCGAATGTCGGCGCAGGCGACCCCCAGAATTTTCAGCCGCTCCACTGTCGTGTGGGCTTCGCGCCCGTGAACCGCTCCCCGTGGGCCCGTGGGCCCGACGCGAGCCCCCAGGGGTGTTCCGCCTCGAGCACCCGCCCCGGGCGTCGCCGCCGCTTCGGCGCGCCGCGAGCCTGCCGTAGCCAGGTGCGCGTCCCGAGTGGCCGACCGAATCCCGCGGAGGGCGAGGCTCTGGAGGACGAGGAGGTCCAGGGTACACGCCATCGAGGGCGTTTCCCTCGCCTGATTTGGCCCTCCAGGCGCGCGCTTCGGCTGCGACCTGCCAACCCCGCCGCGGTGCTGCGCGCGCGGCTGCCGAGCAAGAAGAAGGAGAGGAGGAGTGGGAAGATGAGGATGGGGGGAAAGATGGCGAATGCGGATGAAGGAAGGATGATGGTGATGGTGATGGTGATGGTGATGATGTTGTTGATGATGGTGATGGTGGCGATGATTAGGATGATGATTGTGATGATGGCGATGATGATGGTGATGCTGATGTTGATGCTGCCGCGGATGCGGCTGATGCTGGTTATGCTGATTGTGATGCTGCTGCTGCTGATCACGATGAGGATGACGATGATGGTGCTGCTGATGAAGACGATGATGACGTTTATAAGGATTCTGAGGATGAGAGTGACAACGACGACGATGACGAGGAGGATGAGGATGATGATGGTGATGATGACGACGATGATGATGATCATGGTGGTGGTGGTGGTGGTGGTGGTGGGAGAACGGCGGCGGCGGCGACGACTGCGGCTCAAATGCCCCGATGCCCCTCGGGCGCCTGCGAGCGGGTGTCCGCGATGGTGAGGACCTCGGCGGGGTCCATGGCCTCTCGGGGGGAGGGGTGTCCTTGCCCCGCCTCCTTCTTCTCCTCCTCCTCCTCCTCCTCCTCCTCTTCCTGCTCCTCTGGGAGCGGCCCCCGTGGGAACCACCTCGTCCACACAGATCCACCACGACAAGCGCCAGCAGCTCACTCATCTCAGAACCAGGAGGGTCAGTCACCGAGCCGATCAAGGAGAAGAAACCAACTCAGTCCGAACACTCCCAGCAAGTGTAATTACCGCCTCTCGGCCATCACCCCATAGAGCCCACAGACCCAGCCGACATGTCCTCCTCCTCCTCCTCCTCCTCCTCCTCCTCCAGCCGGACGTGTGCATGTAATCAGATATGTTTCCACGTTCAGCCACGGGGAGCCGGTGCACTTCACGGGCCTCAGCCTCCTCAGCCTTTAACGTCGGGGGCCTCAGCCCGGGAGCCACCCGACCCTCCTTCAAAACAGAGCACCTTCTCGTGACGACGACCCGGCGGGCGCAGGCCGGCAGAGGTGGCGGCCGCGTCACCCTCTCTCTCGGGGGGCCAAGAAGAGGGGGGGGGGCCCACGGGCGGAGTCGCCGATCGACTCGGCGGGGTGGTTATCTTCCATCAGACACCGAGATAGAGGCCTCCTGGATGGGGTCCGGAGTAGATGTGGTCGGAGGATCGCGCCACATCGCCAATGCATCAGCGATGCATCATTGCCGGCGTCGGCGACGCATCGGCGACGCTGGCGTGGAGGAAATTGGGCTCCGCCTCGAGCCGCACCGTCGATGCATCGGCGATCCCGCGCGATCCTCCGACCCCATCTGCTCGGACCCCATCTGGGAGGCCTGGACTCATCAGTCCCCGAACGAAGGGACGAGGAGAACGAGGAGGTTCGGCCACACGCCAGCCGTGGCCCCAACCGAGAGTGAGACCCTCGGCGCGCGGCCTGCCCGCGCCGCTGCGTGCGACGCGGCGGCGGCGGCCCGCGTAGAAGCCGCACACCAGGGGTCGGTCCAGCGGAGGGCCACTCCGACGCGCCTCCGAGGGAGCGGCACAGTGCGGCACCGTCCGCACATTTTTTTGCGTCGGCGGCCGGGCAGAGCCACTGCGCTGGCGAAGGGAGCGAGACGGGGCAGGCGTTCAGCGAGTTGCGCCACCGTGCAGGGAGGGGGGGGAGGACGGACGACGGGGCGACGGCCGGGGGGGGGGGGGTAGGAAAAGGGGGCTGGGGCCGCTCAGAAGGGCGGGGCAGCATCAAACAGGCAAACGAAACTGGGTTCGAGGCCCAACAGCACGCGTTGCCCAAACCCTGCAGCGGCTGCCGTTGGGCAGGCGACTCTCTGTCTCAAGCGGGCAGCGCCCCCCGACCTCCGACTTCCGACGCCGCGTTTTGTCCACGACTTTCGATGATCCTCAGAACGTGTGCTAGCACCAGCGTGTGTTTGTCCACCGAGGCCCTTCAATACGATGCAGGCGGTTCAACGAGGGTCGACATCGACTGCTCGCTATCGGCGGAGCCGAACGGGGTAAACACACGTTTGGGCTGACACACGTCCTGAGGATCATCGGCACTTGGGCCCCCGGATGTCTCGACCCTTGCCCTGATGACCAGTCTTTCATTCCAAATCGCTCTTTGCGGTCCGAAGGCGGTGAATGGCCCCAGGAAGCTGCGAAAACGAGCACAGGCTGTCCAATGCTTATGTTGCCCCCAGCGTACTTAAGGTTGCTGTTCAGGTGCTCGAAGTTCTTTCTGGTGAGTAAGGCTAAAGCAGGTTGGAACATCATAAAGCCAGGGCGCGGTCCTGCCAGAGCGCGCGAGGCCTGGGCACGCTGGCGCCACCGACAGCGGGCCCTGCCCCAGAGCATGGGCAGGAACCGCTGCAGGGTCTTCGTCCCCGCTCTCTCCCGAGGGGCCACGACAAGGGGGGGGATATAGGGAGAGGGGAGGGGAAACAGCGACTTGGAATCGAAGAGGAGGAGGAGGAGGAGGAGGAGGAGGAGGAGGAGGAGGAGGAGGAGGAGGAGGAGGAGGAGGAGGAGGAGGCCACCGACAGCGAATCCGCACCTGCCTGGGCAGGTTGTGGCTGTCGGGCCCCTGTCGGCGATCAATGGGCGATTTGGGGGTCGATGCATTCCCCCCTATGCCCATCCCCCCCCTATCCTTACCCCGGATCTCCTCCCAGCCAGAGGGGCAAAAGAGCCCCCCAACCCCCTCACCTGACCCTCCTCCCCAGAGAGGAGGGGCAGGAAGGGGTGGGGTACAGTCGGACCTGGGACAGAAGAGAGCGTCCCCCAAGAACACGAGATCTTCCACCGGCCAAGCCACTCAGAACATCCAAGGGGTACCCTCCCCCGGGATGCACAAGAACAGCCAACAAGCACGAAAAACATTAGGGCACCCTCGCCGAACACGAGACCCTCCGCTGGCCAAATCACTCAGAACATCCAGGGGTGCCCTCCCCCAGGAAGCACGAGAACATCCAACAAGCACGAAGAACACTAGGGTAGCCTCCCTGAACCGACCTCGATCTTTTAGACCTCGGACCGACCTGTATGCTTCTCGTGCCGCCATTGGCGGCAGCTCCTCGCAGGTCGGGCCTCGAAGCTCCTCCAGGGGCCCAGCCCCCGAGGGAGGAGGGGGGCCAACTGGGGCTGGAGCTCCGCTCTCGTTTCCATTCTCTCCGTGTCCATCTCGATCGCACCGACAAGAGGGTTGGCACGCCCGAGACGGGTGCGGTCAACCCGTGTCATAAGGATGCGCGGTAAGGATACAAGAGCTCAGGAGGGCCAAGTTGACGTTTTTCGAGCGAGGTCGGCCAGTGAAAGTCGCTAAGGATGGGCCGAAGAGGCAAGGATGCAAAAGTACCCATTGGGCAGGTTGCCCGTCCTTGCTGTGCAGGTTGACCGTACGGAAACCACGGGTACTCCAGATTTCGTAATAAAAGGGAGGGGGTCTGGACCCTCCAAGACAAGCCATTTCAGACCTCCCCCGTGGGAGAACCCTCCAAAACATCGTCCCCAGACCCCCCAGGCCCTCCAAGATAGCCTGGAAGAGACCCCCCCGAAATGAGACCCCCCGCCCTTTATTACGAAATCTGGAGTACGTGCAATGCCCAAAACAAGTTTGGTGCACATCCGACAACGCCCGCTGTCGGGCAGGCACCCGTCTGTCTCGAGTGGGGCGCCGTCCGTGGCCGACAGCGACAGCGATGCGTGCTCAAATTGAACCACATGTGCGGTCGGTCTTTGTCACCGTCCTGTCTGTGCCCCTGTCGACCCTCCAGAGAGGAGGGGAAGGATCGGGTCGGGCGAAAGGGGGGGATAGCAAGGGGGGGGGGGGACAATCAGCTCACGTAGCTGATTTTCCCAGTCCCCTCCTCTCGCCCGGCCCGAAGGAGGGGGAGGGAGCATCTCGCGGGCCGGCCCCGGCGGCCTGGGCGTCCCTCTCGTCGCCCTCCAGCTTCTTGTTGTGGGCCCCCAGCTGCCCCTCCGCCCGGACCTCGCGCATGACCTCTGGAGGGGCAGGACGCCGCGGAGCCTCTGCTGCTGCGTGTGCGCGCGTGTTCTCGCGTGTGCTCCCTGCCGCCTGGCTTTTTCGACGCTCGCTTGCCAACGCGAGCCTCTGGGAGCATCGCTCGGCCGCGCGACTTCACGAGGAAATCACTGCACGACTTCGAGCGCAATCGGCCCGCCACTGGGACTGCACGCCGATTGGCTGGTTCGGCGGGTCGGAGGGCACCTGCTCGAGTTTTTCCTTTCGCCCCTGCCCATCCCTGCACCATCCACCCATGACGCATATGCGCGTCGCAGGCTCCAAGCGTGCCCAGAGAAGTGACAGACCCAGCCTGCCATGTGCGAGCCCGCTCGCAGGCCCTTGGCCCTTGGCCTGGAGACGAAGGCACCACGGGAGGAGGGACAACACGACGACAACGACGACGACGGCAAGGAAGGGGGCTTCGCGATATGCTTCCTTCTCGTTTTTGGGGGGGCCAGAACTCCTGGTCGCCGCGCCCCCAGGAGGAGGCTGCCGGGGCGACTGCGAGGCGCGGAGCCCAGGAGCACACGCCGCGGCGCGGGCCCAAGACGTCCGCGGACGGTGCCTCCGTCGGCGGCAGCCGGTTTCCTCCTCCTCCTCCTCCTCCTCCTCCTCCTCCTCCTCCTCCTCCTGCTCCTCCTCCTGCTCCTCCTCCTGCTCCTCCTGCTCCTCCTCCTCCTCCTCCTCCTCCTCCTCCCCTCCTCCTCCTCTCCTCCTCCTCCTCCTCCTCCTCCTGCTCCTCCTCCTCCTCCTCCTCCTCCTCCTCCTCCTCCTCCTCCTCCTCCGCCCCAACCCCCCTCCGCGCGCGGAGCGCGCGACGGAGGGGTCGGGGCGAGTGGTGTCCATCGCTGGCGGAGGCACCGTCGGCGGGCGTCCGACGTTGGCCTGGTCATGCCACGTGCCGGAGGGCAGGCGGTGCGCCCTGCAGGGAGCGCGCCCGAGTGCGGGCTCCCGCAGGGCAGGGCCCCGTGGTGCCCTTTTCCTCGATGCGTGGCCAGCTCCGCAAGCTCGAGCAAAAACGCGGTCAGCTCTTGGGGGTGTCTTCCGCCGACTGAGCGGCCCTGACTTTACTTCCGCTGGCTCCCGCCGGCCTTCCGACGAGGAGGAGATGTCAACGGATCGACCCCTCGTAGCCGAGGCTCTTCTCTGGAGCCCCCCATGTGCTCTCCCGCCCCTCCCCCTCCCCCTCCCCTCCCCCACCCTCCCCCTCCCCCTCCACTCCCCCTCTCCCCCCCCGCCTCCCAGATCCCCGAGGTCATGTTTTTTTCATTGCGTCGAACCCCCGAGGTCTCGACCCATTCCCCGGGACCGGTCTTTCATCCCGAGTCGCTTTTCGATGGCCCCGAGGCCCGGGAAGGGCCCCCCTGGAGGCCGATAGTAGCGAAAAACATCCCGTCGCGATTTTTTCACAGCGCGGGAAGGTCTGGGACCCCCCCAGCCAGGAGCTCGTCCACCGCCGCACGGCGCCCAGAAGCCGAAGCCCATGCTCTGGGGCCCCCCGGGCCCTGCTGGACGTGCCGCCCCACGGCCCGCGCGGGATCCGGCACCCACCGACACTGGGGCCCCGAGCGGGGCCTGAGGAGGCCTGGTGGTGGCAGGCACGCTCCCCAGCGTCCTCGTCCTCTTCGCCCTCGCCCTCGTTGCCGCCCCCCCACCGTACACACACTAGCACACGTCCTCCTCGTCGTCGTCGCCATCCTCCTCCCCCCTTCCTCGTGGTGGTGGTGGTGGTGGTGGTCCTCCGGCTCCTCGCTCCAGCAGCTTGACATAGAAGAATAAAAAAAACGCTACGGCGCTCAGGAGCGGACTTCTGGGATCTGCACTGGACCCCCCTCCCTGGCGTGCGAAGCGCGCCAGGGGCGGCGCCGGAGGCGCCGCCAGGAGGTCCCGGCGCAGATCCAAGAAATCCGCAAGGAGCGCCACAAGTTGATGTTTATAAGACGGGCGCGTTCCACTACTCGCAAAGTAACTACTCGCAAATGGCCTGGATCCGCCGCGGGGGATCTACGATAAATCTCATCGAAGAACATACTTTTTTTTCTGACGTTTGTGAGTAGGCACTTTGCGAGCAGTGGAACGCGCTTGGTGAGTTTATGGCGTTTTTCTGTTTCCTTCGATGACAGACGCCCAGGCCCGCGCGACCTCCCCAGCCCTGCGAGCGAGGTGGGCGCACGCGGACAGCAGCAGGTTGAGCTCCAGCACCCGCGGCGCGTCCATGGCCAGGGCGCGCGGGCCAGGCCGCCAGGCGGCCAGCGGCCTCTGCCTCGGGGCAGCCTCTGCCCAGCAGCGGGCAGTGGGCTGGAGCACGCCGCGGAGGGGGCAGACCGGCGGCGAGCGAGGGGGGGGGGGCAGGTGAGAGGAAAAGGCCTTCTCAGAAGGCGGCGGAGCTTCTCAGAAGCCCTCGCGCCTCCTGAGAACTGCTCTCTGTCTTCAGGGGAAGGTTCAGAAAACTTCTTAGAGGGCCGGGGGACGTCCGAACTTTCTGAGAGGGCCTCCTCTCGGCGGCGCGAAAAGAAAGGGTATGGGGGAGGGGGGAAGGCTTCTTAAAGGGAGTCTGCTTTTTAGCAGGCGCCGGCCCTACATCTACAGATACGGCCCGCACCTTCCGAGAAGCAGGGGCGTTTCTACAAGAAGCCTTCCCCCCTCCCCCTACCCCGCTCTGCGTGTGGCCGCTTCTCTCCTTCTCACTCCCCCCCCGCTCGCCGCCGGGCGGAGGGGGCCGAGGGGGCCCCGAGCCATTGGCGGCTGAGGTGCGCGACGGCGACGTGCGCCTGAGGAGGAAAAGGAGGAGGAGGAGGAGGAGGAGGAGGAGGAGGAGGAGGAGGAGGAGGAGGAGGAGGAGGAAGAGGGCGGAGGAGGAGGAGGGGAGGAGGAGGGGAGGAGGAGGAGGAGGAGGAGGAGGAGGAGGAGGAGGAGGAGAAGAGGCAAGGAGGAGGAGGAGGAGGAGGAGGAGGAGGAGGACGAGGAAAAAGAGGAAAAAGAGGAAAAAGAGGAGGAACAGGAGGAGGGAGGAGGAGGAGGGCGGCCGGCGGCCGGCTGCGCGCTGGAACACGCCGCGGCCCGAAGTGCCAGCGGCCGAGGAAGCTCGAGGCGGAGCCGGCCGAGCCGGCGGCGGGCACACTGGGTGGCCCGCTGCCAGCTGTCGAGCCTGGCTCGGTGCTTGCCCGTGGCGGTTGGTCTGCCAGACTGCAGCGGGGGTGCGCGCAATGAGGCGTGCTGCTAAGGTGAGGGCACTAGAGAGGAATCCTCAGCAAGGAGCGCAAGGTCTGGACGCAGATGGAACTCCGAGCCTGGATTTGCCACGGATATCACCACCGGCCGCATCAGATACAGAATTCTCCCCTGCGCGCCTGCAGAGCGCCCCGCTCTTGCACGCGCCCTGCGCGGCGAAGGCGCACGGCCGGCAGCCCCCCGCCAGGTGCAGCGCCGAGCCCAGGCTCGGCAGGCCCGGCGCGGCCTCGGCCTCCCCCGCTGGCGCGGCGCCGGCCTCCGTCGGGCGCCGCCGGGTGGTCTCCCTCGGGGCCGTCGAGGTCTGAAGCCTCATGGGCACATCGTATCACCTCACGAACGCCCTCGCCGTGAGGCATGCGGCTACAAGAAAGCAGAGGGCGCATGCGCGGCCGATGTTCTTCGCTCGCCCAGGGTAACCCCCGAACCGTGCGGGTCGCCGAGGCCAGTGTGGAAACAAAACAGATCGCGGGGCGTCCGTAGGCAGGCCACCCCTGTACGAAAACCTACGACCACGTGACAACTTGGATTCGGCCGGGCATGTCCTCCTGCAGGCGGGCTTCGGACGAAAGTGGGAAAGACTCAGAACATCAAACATAGTCAAAAATAATTAACACATCGTCTGCAGTTTTGTAAAAAGTAGCTTTGGGAATTCCTCCTGTAGAAGTGCATGCCCGACTCAAGAGTAGGAGTCCCCCCTCAGGCAGATGGTATGGTCCAAGCTTGGAGAGCAAATTGTCCAAGAGGGCAAGGCACTTGACCACCCTGTCGAACTCCTTACAGGCCGTGCTCCACGCCCCCCGAGATCTCCTACAGAGAACCGACCCCCCCCCCGACCTGGACGTCCTTGCCACCCCGCCGAAGAACCATGTGCTCGCGGCAATGTCCTCCGACAGGCGGGTTTTGGACGACAAGCCAAAAATAGCCACAACAGAAGCAAACATAAACACAAGATCGCGAGAACTCGCCATCAGACTATTTTTGGATTGCTCTTGAATTTGCCTTTGGTAAAAACGACATGCGGATTTAGTGTTCGTGTCCGATCGGGGCGGCCGCCCGAGAGGCGCCTAGATTGCTGGGCGCCTCTCGGGCGGACTTCTCTCGGATTGGTGCGCGTGCGCATGCTTCGGCAGGGCCAGCGCGAGAGCCAGCATTCCAAACCAGCAGCCCTGGGAAGTGGAGGAAATGGAGGAAGAGGAAGAGGAGGAAGAGGAGGGGAGGACCTGCCGATACCGTCGCGTTGCCATCCTATCACACATCGTTCGCTACTCCTTGCATCTCTGCTTCCGTGCGTCGCTGCATCGTTGGCTCGTCGGCCCCGTTGCCTCACGATGCAACCTTTTCTGACGAGGGACGGCGACGGGGAGCGCTGACTCTGTGACGCTCAGTGGCTTGCCAGTTCTGCGCACAGCGCAGCAAAACGCCCCATCTTGAAACTCGAACTCACGTTCTGGAGCGCACTCTTGAAGACCTCCGAAACCGTTCGCCCAGGCAGTGCCGTACTCCTTCTGTTTTTTTTGGCTAGGGCTGGCGACGCAAGGCTCTGCAACGCATCGGCGCCGCAATGATCGGGGTGCCCGCGCGTCCCTAGCTCAACCCGCTTTTGCGAGCCAGCGAAGGGACAGATATCGCGGTATCTTGTTCGAGCACTCGGGCGCGCGTCTCTGCCTGTCGCTCGTAGTGGCGTCGGTCGCCTACGCTTGTTTGCTTCGCGAACCGCTTATGATGGACGATGAAGGACCTTGATGGCGCAATACAGCGCAGATGCATTGACTGCGCCACATTCCCGCAAGTGGCCAGTTTCCATCGTTCGTCTTGACCACTTGCGCTATTTCCTGTGGCGCCAAAGGCACGCGCGCACACCTTTAAATGCTGTTTGTACAACATAGCGGTCCAAGGCTGCGCGCTCTGTGGCAACGTCGTCTGTAGCTCCGTGCTGCTGCGCAATGAAATCCGTGTCTGCTTGCTGTGTAGCAGCGCGCGCTGAGGCCCAAACCGCGTGATCTGGAGCAGCGTGGTGTGTAGCTTCGTGTTTTTGCGCAGCAGAATCCATGTCAGCATGCTCTGTAGTGACAGGCACCAAACGTGTAGGGGAGCGGCCCCGAGGCACTATTACATGAAACTTCTAGCTGTTGAACGTGCCCCGGGCCAACACGACTGCGAACGGTGATTCGTGCGCAGCGCAAGTAAACGGTGCATTCGCGCAGACAGATTGCACACCAGCTAAAGTACGCATCGATGTGGTGTGAGCTATGTTGTGTAAGCTATTTGGTGGAGGAAGGGGAGGTAAAGGAAACAAGCGGAGGAGGAGGAAGACGACGAGGAGGACGAGGAGGACGAGGAATCTACTGAAAAGGAAACTGGGCAATCGTAGTAATACATGTGGTTTGAGATCTGCAGTGTAAGTTCGGTGGCGTGCGTCTGTATGTATGCATCGATTCCGGAACGTGTGTGTGCATGCATGTATGACTGCATGTATGCGTATGTATTTACGTGTATGTTATATGTCTGTGCGCACCGATCGATGTGCCTAGGCATTCATGTGTGTGTCATGTGTACGAATAAATGCGTCTGTGTGTATGCATGAATGTGGGTGTGTCTGTGTGATTGGTTGTGTGTGCGTGTATGTATGCATGCATGCATGCGTGCTCGTTTGTTTGTTTGTATGTAGGTTTGTATGTCTGCATATATATAAATGTTTGCTTGTGTGCACCTATGTGCATATGCGTGGATCGAACACATACATGTTAAGCCACATGTTATCGTATGATATTTTATAGTGTGGTATATGCATACGCTATTTCGCGCATCTTATCTTATGTTATGGCATATCATGTTAAGCGGTACTGCAATATCTTGCGGGGGTGATTGCAACCTACGTGGTGCATTCCAGGTGGTGCAAGCTATGTGGTGAAATTGTTTTCCCGAACGATTCGACATATCCCATGCCCTTGCGAACGTCCCACCCACCCACCCGCAACTTGGTTTGCAAAACCCATGCGGCGGCCATTGCTGCGATGAATGCTTGGCGCTGGCTGGTGCATGTTTGTGGCCGCGCCAGCCCGCGCATGCACACGCGCGCAGCGGCCAGCTAGTTTGGCGCGACCGACGCGGCCGCGGTGGCGCTGACCGCCGGGCACATCCCACTGGGCACTTCAGTGCGAGTCGGCGTCTTGGGCGGGCGCGGTATCATGGCAGCGTCGGCAATGGTAGACACGATAATGGTAATAGCGATGCTGCTGACGATGTTGACAGCGACGACGGCGCGGCCAGTGACGGCGCCGATGTTGATCACGCCGACGAAGATGACGGCGTCCTCGCGTCGGTGGGAAAGTTTTGGGAGGAGTTCGACATGCGCGCGCGGTCGACGCGCGAGAGTGGCCGCATGGTTTGACTTGACACGGATCGTGTCCCCCCAGCACGCGCGCAAGGGCGTTCGAATGATTTCGGCCTGTGGCGCGAAAGGCTCGTTTGGCAGAATCCCATCAACATGTTGAAAGCAAAACGATGGTTTTCTGAAGAATTCGCCAGAGCGCGAGCGTTTGCGAAATCATATGTTTCTAAATGGTTTCGGGACACTCGGTTTTAAAGTCTTTGCAAGACCTAGGGTTTTTGTTTGAAAGATTTCGGCACGCGCGCGCGACAACGCGCCCGCATGCACTTAGTCCTATATTTTGCAAAGGATTCTCGCGACAGCACGCGCGCAAGGGCTTTCGAACGATTTCGGCATGCGCGCGCGAAGCTCGTTTGGTAGCATTTTATGAAAATGTCGAAACACCAATTCGCAAGAGCGCGCGCGGAAGTTCTGCTGAACATCCGTATTGTGAAACCATGTGCTTTTACATGTTTGTTGGGCACTCGATTTTGAAACCCTTACGCAACCTAACGCTTTTGAGAAAACCGGCATGCGCGCGCGACGACGCGCGCGTGTGCACATCGTCTGATTTGTTGTGCAACCGGTGATGATTTTTGCTAAACGCATGTGCGCGCATAGTGTTTTTGGTAGAAGACGACGGGGGGGATCGATACCGGCCTGCCTGGGATGGTACGAGTTCATATTTAGGATGGACGAGGGGGGCAGAAGCATGTACGGGTAATCCCCGGAGGCGGGATAATCTAATCTAATTCTTTTTACGAAAGGAAAACCTATGTGACGGCAACGAGGCGGCGACGCTGCGGCGACGGAGGCGGCGACGGCGGCGACAGGCGGCATGGGCGGCGACGGGCAGGATTCGCGGCGACGGGCGGTGACGGCGACGGGCGGCACGAGCGGCGACGGCGACGGACGGCGACGGGCGGCGCGGGTGGCAATCACCCCGACGGGCGGCGACGGCGACGGGCGGCAAGGGCGGCGACGGGCGGCAATCACCCCGAGATGGTTAACGGAAGTAAGAACCCCTAAGTGCAAACACCTCTTGATACGGCCAGCTTCCGCCAGCAGAGCCGCCCTCGTTTTGCTTCCACCGCCCTTCCGCCAGGGAGGATACGTCAACCCTTCGACAGCCCGAAAACGAAAAGCCTTTTCTGGGACGCCTCGCATGCCCGCAGCGGGCGGCCGCCGCACCCCCCTGCGACAGGCCGCTGCGGGCCGCTCAGGCCCTGAGGAGGCGCGGGTCCTGGGGGCACGAGGGCGGGGGGGGCGGGGGCACAGCGCCGGCGCCCGTGGAAAACAATCAGGCACAGACGCAGACGGGGAAGGGGCTCGACATGTGCACCAAGTCGTCTGGTCGAGCAAGGGGCCTCGGTGTGTAGAGGCCCCAGCTTCCTAGGATATATACACGACGCTGGAGCGCCTGTGCACCGAACCACCTCGTCGAGTTCCTTGGCTCTCTGGCCGACCAGGCGACGTGGTGCATACATCGATCCCCTCCGCGCCGAGCAGCAGCGCAACATTTCCCAGGTATGCCCCCCGAGCCGCGCGGAGAACGAGGGCCCCCCGAGCGCCTCTGGAAACGAGGGCCCAATAGAGTCCGCAGAAATGCCACAGAGAGAGAGAGAGGAGGAGGAGGAGGAGGAGGAGGAGGAGGAGGAGGAGGAGGAGGAGAGAGGGAGGAGAGGAGGAGGAAGAGGAGGAGGAGGAGGAGGAGGAGGAGGAGGAGGAGGAGGAGGAGGAGGAGGAGGAGGAGGAGGGAGGAGGAGGAGGAGGGAGGAGGAGGAGGAGGGGTGAGGAGGGGTAAGGAGGGGTGAGGGGGGTGAGGAGGGGTGAGGAGGAGGAGGTGGAGGAGGCGGAGGAGGAGGAGGAGGAGGAGGCGGAGGAGGAGGAGGGGAGGATCAGGAGGAGAAGGGTGAGGGCGATGAAGGAGGAGTGACGACGCC